ATTTGTGCTAAAGTAACTAGGAAAGAGTTAAACTATTTTGTTCATTTAAAATATTACTTTATTTATGATACTTTGTAATAGACGTCATGCTTACGAAATCCATCTACTCTTCAATAATTTCTAAATTTTCCACCATAATAAATGATATATTTTACAGCATGTAAATTGATTAAAAGTATGATAATTAGTTAGTTAGTTAGTTAGTTAGTTAGTTAAGTTAGTTAGTTAGTTAGTTAGTTAGTTATTAGTTAGTTAGTTAGTTAGTTAGTTAGTTAGTTAGTTAGTTAGTTAGTTAGTTAGTTAGTTAGTTAGTTAGTTAGTTAGTTAGTTAATAAGTAAGTAAGTAAGTAAGTAAGTACGTTTGTTAGTTAATTAGTTTAGTTAGTTAACAAGGTTAGCTTTTAAAAAAGCTAGTAGCGACTCGCTTCGTAATTTTTTTCCAGGGGTGTGTTTAAATGTAAAAATGACAGTTCTGTTAGCTGAAGCCATTTCTCTCAGTTTAATAAAGAGGAATATCAGTATATATGAAGATGCATGTAAACAAATAGAATGAAGTCCCTATGTCTATGCACATTTACTATATGGCCTGTTGACCTTGACCCAAAAAAATGTTAGATAGGTAGAATTCATAAAGATGTCTCTTTATACGAAGTTAAGTTGTAATATGTTTTTTTAGTATTGGAATGAGTGACAGACACAAGTCTTAAAGTAAACACAAGTTGTCAATCATTTCAACGGGATCGTATTAAAAATATAGGGATCCCGGAAATTGACGTTGCATCGCCCAAAACGCAAACATAAATCTTATCAAGTTGGACATTTTCACACCGGCGAAGATTTTTCCCCCAAGCCATCATCACTGAAAAAGCGTAAATTTTCACCAAGAAAATCACCGTTCGCACAAACATACCGTTCACCTTTATATAAAAGTAAACGCCTCGGACGAAAACTCACGCCAAAGCCAACACCAAATTCAAATAGAACGAAACGTAAACTTTCACCACTGCAGCCATCATTGAGGTCTCCACTTTATATTGCCGAAAACCCTTCAGCCACGGTGAATTTATATGTGAACGGCCTGAAGAAAACCATATTATTCTAAATTAGGGCTTGTAACGACTTGAACTGTTGTTTAACACAAATGTAAATAGTCCTGGAGCTTACTATAAGCATGTATATTTATAATGAATCAAAGGGCTGCAAGTTCTGTGGTATTTTCTGATCTTTGCAATCTAAATCGTACTGTATATCTGTATGTATTTTCCTGTCTAAGTTTATTTTTATGTATTATAATTAATTTTGCACGGCACCAGAGTTTTATACATAGTTGCATCAAAATATCATTTATGTTAATTTTTTACGACAGCTACACTTTATCCTTGCTTACACACCTCCTCTATTGTTTGTGACAGGTCTATATTTTTCGGATAGACCTGTTTAAACAAAAGAAAGTCCGTTATGATGTCTATCTTTTGCACGTGCACAGGTCTGTTCTAGTCAGACAGACCCGGTCATGAAATACACGTGAAAAAATAGACCTGCCTATGCGCAGACAAAGAAAACATGAAATGCAATCAAATATTAAAACTCTTTTAACTAAGAAATTATTCCAGCATCCCTATATTCAATCTTTGAATAAAAAAATGGGTAGCATATCAAAGTTAGGACACATTTAACATTTATTTAATCGCGTCATTTTTAAAGTAATAGTTATTCTGTAATTAAGTTCATAATATAACAAAATGGACGCTTCAAGTTCATATCTATGAAACTATATAGCAGAAATCACAGCCTACTCATTACGATTTTAAAATGTTTATAAAGTTATAATTGATTTAGTTTAAAACATTTTATGATGAACGATCATATTTTATTCCAGAACACTTTATAATCTGCTACATAAGATATAGTTTCGGTTCATGTATCTTACACTTGCCAACAATATACATATGTAAGTCTTTCGTGGTCTGCTAGGTATCCACACATTGCCCTTCGGACAGTTGCCCCCTCGAAAGTGTGCCCCCTTTTTGCAGTGGCGGTCATTTGCCCCCTCTTATCTTTGGAAGGGGCCAACATTTGCCCCCCCCCCCTCCCTGTTCAAAAATATATTTTATTGTTGAATTGTTTGCTACCATAATTCATCGCCTATTGTGGAAATTTCATGGTGCTTAAATACACAAAAACTCGCGCAAATTTGTGAAAGTCAAAATAGCATCCATAAACAAATAAAACTAAAAAATCTATGCACGAGATGACAAGTGACAAATCACAAGGGAAAAGAGGGGGCAAACATCCGGAGGGCAACTGTCCGGGCAAATGTCCTAGAATCTGCATTGTCTGATACGAAATACTATCAACATTCATTCTTTAACACACCTTCTATTACAGTCTGTTCACTTTATTATTGTATATATTTCAAATGACCAACCGACGTTTGCATATTTCTCATGATCAAACGACGTTTGCAAAATCGACACTAAGTGAAAAAACATGTGTTTATATCGAATATAACCATGCCAATGGAATTATTAATAAGTTAGGGACGAGAATTTCTTGTAAAAAGATATATCTTCTATTATTTTCCCTCTACATGGGTTTTCAGTGAACAAAAAAGATTAGAAAAGATAAAAGCTATCGGCGTTTGCCTTGCAAAAAGAAAATTTGTGTCGAAGTGTTCTAAAAAACTACTTAAGTCTAGTAATGACTACTCACATAAAATAAAAGCTTAATTTACGCCGGGTCCTACGGTCTATGTCTTATTTTTGTGTTCGCAGTGGAAAAAAAGATATCTGCAAATGATTACCTGAAATCGGGTCCGTGTATGCCAAAATCACAAATCGACGTTTGCATTTGTGGTCACGTGACAAAACTTGTTCATCCACGGTGTTTATGCTTTAAATAAATCATTTGATGGGCTACATAACCATTGACTGCATGTGTATGCCATTATTTATAATAACACGTGATGAATGCCTTTATTTATAAGACAGAATATTCGTATACTATAAAGCGTTAAATTTGCAAGTCTCAGCTAAGATACAACAAATAATAGCCCGTCAAGAGAACCCAGGAACATACTAACTAACGAACTAACTAACTAACTAACTAACTAACTAACTAACTAACTAACTAACTAACTAACTAACTAACTAATTTACTTATTTACCAATTAACTAACTAACTAAATAAATAAATAACTAAATAACTAACTAACTAACTTACTAACTAATACTCTTACTGTAAATTAATTTACATGCTGTAAAACAAATCATTTATTATGGTGGAAAATTTTAGGAATTATTGAAGAGTAGATGGATTTCGTAAGCATGATGTCTATTAGAAAGTATCGTGAATAAATCAATATTTTAAATAAACAAAATAGTTTAACTCTTTCCTAGTTACTTTAGCACAAAAGCGCTGAAAATTGTATTCTTGAACGGCTTTCAGCGTTATTCATTCTTGGTGATGAATGGCTGTCGATGTTATCATTAAAAAGAGGCGAACGGCTGATGACGTTACTAAAATTTCGATGACACTCAAACTTAAATACCCTATAACTTTAACATAAGAGCATTCTTGGAATGGAGGTATGGTTTGGAATATTTAATGAAGAAATGTTGACGTTTACGAACCGTATGATAAAAGGTTATATTATCATGAGAAAATATAAGTTTTTGTGACATAAAAATAAAAATGCCGCATTCATCGGGTAGCGTGGTTAGTTTCAGTCAAAATTCACGTGAAGTAAAGCTTGCACAGGGCCAGAAATTTGTTCGTTTGCTCCTTTGGATGTTGACTATGAATCCATAACATTGATTTACTCGAACAAAGTTGGGAACTTGGGATATGTTAAAAATAGATGAATAATTACCGTCCGTCAATTGTGTTTCAGGCACATTCATATGTATACTGGTACAGCTGTCGACGCTTGAACTGCTGTCTGCCCATTTGATTGTACGGTACATACTTTAACTATCTTTTGCTGATTTTGTTACGTTGGCAAATTCTTTAGTTTAATATAAAGCAACGCCCTTCCAGATGCGTGCTAATTGTCCAATCGCAACTACTCGGCCCTTTCCGTCAGTCTTCGGATAAGGACCTCGAACACAATAGTATGAATACACAGAACGGATGCGGTATTTCGGTCTAACCTACGCTAAGAAACTAAACATGTAAACAAATAGTAATTTGATGCTGGGAGTTGTTGACATGTTTATTTCCATTATATGTAGTAAAAGTCGACCTAATATAAGTGAATTCATAGGTACAAAAGCAAACAATACATTATTTATATATTTATTATTATGGCTGTAGAACCGAAAGTACAAAAAACCAACCTGTTGACATTTAGTCGGATTTGTTTAAATTGAACATCAGTGGGCATATTTAAATAACAAATTGTTGTCAGACATATTTTCAAGTATAAGAGTACCGGAACAGACATTAGATGTCAAATATATACATTCGTTTTACATTGTCTCTGTTTCTGTTTACATCTGAAACCACGTGGTAGAACTACTTTCAATCCGAGGTTATTATAGATAATAGCCGAGGCAGTTCCGAATGCTAATTGTCATGATTATTTAATGCATCAGGTAGAGAGTTAGTTCTGGCTTCCATAACTTTATATGCCGCTTTTATTTTGACGTTGCAACAGTAAACAGGTCTAGCAATACTATAAAACCTGTTCGCTGAAGTATCTTTAGCTACTAGAGAGTAAATTATTGTCAAGTAAACAACAAGAGTAATTTACACATAACAAACGGAACTTAAAATCAATGAAAATTACCAAAAATAGCTAAGAATATGCAAAAGAAGAATATGAAAACAAATACTAACTGCAAAATACGTCAGTCCTTGAATATCACATGTAAATTGTTTATCAAATTGTTAATAATTTCACTTTTCTTAAAACCTTAGCACATTTTTCTCAAGGTTGATTTTTAAAAAAAAAAAAATTATCTTATGGCACGCAGCTTTAAACTACACATATTTTGATATCGATTAATAACAATAGTTATTTGCTTATAATGCGGTATAACATGGCTATAATCCTCTCCGTGATAAACTGTTATGTTTGAACAGGTTATCTCTATGCTATTTGTAGAAACGTGTATACAGTGTTTGTCGTATATGTAAACACAATCAAATATGGTCGGTATCAAGAAAAAGAAAAAGTTAATTTTATTTTTGTCGGGGACTTTATTCATAGTGTGTGTAATAGCATTAACTGTCACACCAGAAACACGAGTTGGTGTTCGAAGTGGTCGTAACTACAAAGTGACATTTAGGAATTCACATTTTAGAGAGAAACCTCTTAAAACTATTTTACTATGGACTCCGATGTTCAATCATCCAACTGTGGATAGTTACCGGAAGTGTCTAAGCACGTGCGAAGCTAAGTGTGTTGTGACAGACGACAAAACTCAAATAGAAAATGCAGACGGTGTTGAATTTCATCTTTCGGATATTTGGTCACAATTTTGGAAGATTGGAACAAAATCTATTATAGAATTTCCAAAATATAGAAGACCAGACCAGGTTTGGATTTTAGCAAATATGGAGCCGCCTCCCCATTTGTGGGGAAATATTCGAATTTTTAATGGGTTGTTTAATTGGACGCGGTGGTACAAATCAGACGCCGATATTCATTGGCCTTATGGTGGAGTATACATATATAATAAAAGTGAACAAATTGAAGCAGAAAAAGAATTAAAAGGCAGAAATTATTTCAAAGAGAAATCAAGGGAGATGATTCTAAGAATTGGTAATTGTTTTGATGCAGGTCAGAGATACCGTATCATTAATAAACTTGATAGATACTTTAATATTGACAAATATGGAAAATGTTACAATAAAGTGTGTGGTGTAAACACTGACCCTGGGGATGAGTCATGTAGCAACCTAATGAAACAGTATAAATTTTATTTGGCTTTTGAAAATGACTATTGCACGGACTACGTCACAGAGAAATACTGGCTTACTTTGCGAAGAAACCAAATACCAGTTGTAAACTGGAAAACAGTAGATCCACGATTAGTGATACCGAGTTCTTATATAAATATTTTTGACTTTGATTCTATAGAACAGTTAGCGCATTATCTTAAGCTAGTCAGCTCTAATGAAACTTTGTACAATAGTTATTTTGACTATAAAAAGTTTTATACAAATCGTCAGAGCACGTGCCAGGCTTGTTCTGTATGTCAAGCACTACACGATAAAGACCGACCAGCTCAAGTTTATACAGATTTAGAAGGATGGGTGAAAGATGACTCGTGCAAACTTGTTGGTGTAAGTACACATTGTGTTACCTTTGTCGAAAATGTACACTTATATTCTCTGTTACCTTTGTCGAAAATGTACACTTATATTCTCTGTTACCTTTGTCGAAAATGTACACTTATATTCTCTATCTCGGTCACATTGTGTTACCTTTGTCGAAAACGTACACTTATATTCTCTATCTCGGTCACATGGTGTTACCTTTGTCGAAAATGTACACTTATGTTCTCTACCTCGGTCACATTGTGTTACCTTTGTCGAAAATGTACACTTATATTCTCTACCTCGGTCACATTGTGTTACCTTTGTCGAAAATGTACACTTATATTCTCTATCTCGGTCACACCCAAAGTTTCTTGTCGAATCCAACAGTCCCATTGTTCCGCTGTAAAAGACATTTTTAAAGTAATAATTCAAACTTTTCACTCTGTGCTCGAATGTAATTTAAGTCTTAGAAAAAAAAACGAAATTTATGAGTTGTCTCCCTTTGAACGTTTTGCATGAAAGTATCAAAATGTCATGTCCATTAAGTTGGTTATACGTATGAATCCGTTTTTTTTCAATTTAAGAAAGAATCGTAAATAACAATAAGTTAATAGTTATATTAGTGTTACACAATCAGTGTTGTATGTCATGCCAAGTAAGGCACCTGACATGAAGTTTAAAATCCATGACAAAAGTTTATACGTTTAAATAACGCTAATAACACATATTTTGCATTTAGAAATTTATTTCTTTTTATGTTTTTCCATTACAGCTCTTTGACAATTTCATGAAGAACTTCTACGGTTGGAGATTCATTTTATTGGGATTCTGATAGCGTTTTGTTATTGGCAACAAACAGGTGACCTACGATGAAAGTTACACGGAGAACGCTGTCCGTATTTTTGCGGGAACGGATGGACGAATGATTGTTATATGTGTTCACAGAAATCCGCTGATAAGTTTATTATGCTTTTATAGTGAGAATGAGATTGCAAAAACAAATTTAAACTGTGAAGTTAAAAGTTTTTGTTATTTATTCATTTAAAGTAAATATTTTCGTTTAAATATTCAAATCATGTATATTTAGTATAAATGTAGGTTTATTCAAATGTTTCTTTAAAAACTACATGTACTTTACCATTGGCAAGTATGCCTTAGTCATGTATATCAACAAAATATCATGTACTTTTAGTCAGTTTGATATTTTCCTCGCTAAAAGTTGTGCTATTTATAGAGCTTGCGATGTTGGGGTGGGATTGACTATAATTATATATTTGATAAGGTTTACACCTTTTTTACATTCCTCAAGTCTTTGATATTGTTAATAAATTGTTTACAATAAAACTGTTGTGTCATGACGGAAACAGCCCTCTTGTTGTTTTTGTAAACCCCGCCTAAAGGCAGCGGGGGATATAGAAATAGTCTCCGTCCGTCTGTCCTTCCTTCCGTCCGTCCTTCCGTCCCATATTTTTGTCCGGAGCATATCTCAAAAAGTGTTTGAGGTATCAACTTGAAACTTCATAGGTTGATAGATCATATTGAGGAGGATTGCAGTGCACAAGAAGGATGGCTATACCCTGCATATTTTTTCAGTTATTGCCCTTTGTTATTTTTCAAACTTAATTTTTGTCTAGAGCATAACTCAAAAAGCCTTTGAGATATCAACATGAAACTATATAGGTAGATAGATCTCACTCAGAATGTGTGCAGTGCACAAGAATAATAACTCTACCTTTCATAAAATTTGAGTTATTGCCCTTTGTTAATTTTTCATACTTAATTTTTCACCTGAGTGGAGCATAACTCAAAACGTTTTTGAGATGTCAACATAAAATGTCATAGATGGATTAATCGCATTGAGAAGGAATGCTGTGCACAAGAATGATAACTCTTCCCTTTATAATTTTTGAGTTATTGCCCTTTGTTATTTTTGATACTTTTGTCCGAAGTTTTTCTCAAAAAGTGTTGAGGTATCAACTTGAAACTTCATAGGTGGATAGATCTCATTGAGGAGGAGTGCAGCACACAAGAATGATTACCTACCCTGCATTAATTTTGTTATTTTCTGCCAGGTTTCAAATCTGTAATCACTTCATTACCAAAACACCTCTTAAAATTATATTATTCTGCTCTACTACATATACATTCTTAAATGGGCAAATACATTAGGCGGGGATGGCCATATTAACATGGCTCTTGTTGTTATATAAAACACAAGCTTCAACGCTAATAGACTGTACAATGCCCTGCATCTTTTAACTGTCTTAACCGCTATGTTTAGTCCATATCATGAAAAAAATAATATAGATTATATTTTACCCCTGTACTTAGTGCATCGCCATGCAAATAGATACACAAGATAATAATAACATGCCATGTGATCATGATTACATTAAGATACAATAGGATGATTAATCAGTTAACAGTAAAAACATTTTTATGATGAGGATGATAAGATAATTATTAGATAATATATAATAGTTCGTTAAAATCAAACAGCGAAATACAACATGCTATGTTTTTTAAAAAAATACGAATAACTTTGTGATTTTAATCAACCTATTTAGTTATTAAAAATAATATGAATATTTTATACATGATTCACGAAGTGTACACAAATATAATAACAACCTTATATAACATAGATACAATAATATTAATATTCTACTTTTTATACTGTTAAGATATACATTAGTAATATATAATACTAATTCCAATATTAAGACAGACAATACTAGAAACCCGACTGGCATCAGATCTTCACAGGATATTGAACACCGTATTTAACCCCTAAGAAATTACCCCCCCCCCCCCATCCTTTATGATATATACTTTTCTTACCGAGGAATAGATTCTATACCTTTGTTAATAAATAACAATGCATAATAACACAAAAATATACAACAGGCAAGTGAAAATACATTTGTATAAAATAAGTTGTTCAATATTTATAGGAGTATTTCTAATTGCCAAACTTTCTTTATATATATCTTGCTAAGTTCATAAATGTTTGTTTGTTTGTTTTTTGTGTTGTTCTTTTTGGTTTTACGTCACATCGACACAGTAAAGGTAAAGCTTTACTGGTGGAGGAAGACCTCAGCTGCCCTTTCGTGCATTATTTCAGGCACGAAGGGGCACCTGAGTAGAACCACCGACATTCCGTAAGCTAGCTGGATAGCTTCCTCACATGACAGAATTCAAAGTCCCTGTTGGGATTCGAACCCACAGCGGTGAGGGGCAAGTGAAATCAACGACCTTAACCACTAGGCCACGGACACCCCCTTAAGTTCATAAATAAAAATTGAGTACATTTGGACAACGGTAGTCTTGTGTCAACCAAAATATGTCATGATACCGATCGAATTTTACTGCTATTTCTTTTTCCTTTTTTAACTTAACTTTCTTGCAACATTAATAATACGATTAACCTTGCTTGTTTAATCACTCTTTTGTTAACTATTGAATATTGTTAAATGTCACCAAGTTGTACAATCTGAACAACCTTATAAAAACAAACAATATATCTAAATATTCCTGTTATACTGTAACATATACTAGTGATTTTTGCTCCTGGATCATTTAAGGTACATTAAGCATGAACAGGCAAACCTGTGTTGTATGTTAAAAGACTGGTAGATCTATGCTAAATATCTATCTATTATCATAATTATATAGAAAGTCGTGTCGAATATGCAATAATATGACATAAAAGTAGAGAAATAAACATAAAATGAACAACAAAAAAAAAACACTTTCAACGACAGATAACTCAAAAAGTCTGGATAACCTGCCCCTGTTACTAGTAGTTGCATTATAGACTAGGAAAGATCCCCATTTTAGCTCGCCTGTTTCGTCTTCGTACAAAAGCTTTAATGCATGTGGCGCAGTTAGTCGCACCATTGCCGCTAAATGTCGCAACCGACGCTAAATGTCGCAAATCATTTGCTGTTAAATGTCGCAATGTTTACGTTAAATGTCGCACGAACTTCTCTTACCGTTAAATGTCACAACACTACGGTTGAATGTCGCAAGATATATATTCATGATAAAATTAAGCTTGCTAGTGGCATGATATTACAATAATCATAGAGTATATTAAAATGGTTGTATATATTTAGTAATTTTGGGACCCAAAGGAATGTCCCGAATCTGTTTGCTCAAGACGAAATACATGTATGCTTATAAAATATCCTTTTTGGGTGAAATTAAACTGTAAAAGCGATTGATTAAATAATAGTATGCAAGTACACTACATGTATGCATATGAAAATGCAGTATATTGCTTTGCTTGCTTGTGTCCATCTACCTGACCGTTGTGGGTTCGAATACCGCAAGATTTTTAGTATTCTTTTATGTTAGGAAGATACTCCAGCTAGTTTACGGAGTGTCGCTGGTTTTATTCAAGCTCTCGTTCGTGCCTGAAATAATTTACAGAGAGGCACCTAAGGTCTTTTTTCACCAGTAAGATTGAAAAGTCACAATATGTCCCTGACGTAAAATCCGACAAATATCTAATTGTATCAGACTGCTTATTTTGTATATATTGCTGTAAGTACTAACGTTCTATAATCTGAATATCAACTTGATTATTATTATAGGTTATACAAATTTATTTTAGTTCAGTTGTTTTGGAAGTTCGAAGCGTAATAAAACTCTGGAACTGGAACCGACCAGTACTAAGCAATGATTGTATTATTTGCTCACGTAAAAACGACTTGCCACTGACTGGGTTTAAACCCACTCGGCCAGCAATCTTAAGATTAATAGTCAGGCGAGTTAATCACTCGACCATACCGCATCTTAATTGATTATTTTTAACAGAAGTCTCATTAATAATCTTATTACGCACATTCAATGTTTTCAATGAGATCAAGACCCAATAAAACAATTATAATTTGGTCATCTACGGTGCATTGTGCGTGAGTCTGCGTTTGTGCATACTTGTGTTTGGTTTAACTGCCTTTGTCTCCAGCAAAAAAAACACATGAGATCATTTCCATTTCCTTTCTGCAGGCCTTATTATTATGCCACCGCTATCCACTATTCATACTGTATAACGCAATAGAATATGACCTAAAACTCCGTGACCATCTACATTCTTGTCCATGCTTGAACTGCAGCTATTTTCCTTAAAACCAAATGGCTCAAAAATGATATCAATGTAAGTCATTACAGATGTTTGTGATTTATGAACTTCAATGTTTCCAAATAGTGTTTAATATAAAATATGTGATTAAGATTTCCTACGTTATATATACTAGTTTACCTACGTCTGAAATAAAAAAAATAACCTATCATTTAACCTACCGGCAATACCAAAGTCTTGATGTACCTTTACTTACCACGATACCACGCGATACCTTGAGCTTTTTTTTCTAAAATACAATCATCCTTTGAGACTACATATCGGCAAAGTCTTGCATTTATTCCAACGGCATTAAACTATCAGAAATGTGATATTTGATATAACAACGGAGATTTTTCTAACGACTTTAAAACATTCTAGATGATTAAAGTGGAGAAGTTCAAAAGCAAACTGATCATGAAAAGCATATTAAACTGGTCATAATAATAATTCTTTTTTTTTTTACTGGAAATGAAAGAAAAGAAAAGAGCGAAAAACTAATCAGTTTTGTTTGCATCAATGAAATGTATAAAACTAATCCAATTATGATACCTAGATAGTATAATACCTATAATACAGGTCTATAAAACATGCTTGTAGATGACTGGCCGACATGCAGTATAAAAATATTGATCTAAAATTAGATTTTAATTGAATCTTTCTGGGACAATCTTCTAGCTTGAACCCACGACATCTGAATTACTAAATGAAAAAGTATACAAATGAGTTTTATCACCATGGGGCCCTAAAGCATAAGTAATGGTCGTAAATTTATATATAATACCGACAAAGATTACTTTTATTTCAACCAATATTTTAGACGTCAAAGCAAATCCTTTCATATTTCCCCACTTCACTTACATAACCTTAATATTAACATAATATCAGTTTTTGTACATGAATTTAGATATTGCGACATTTAAACGTTACAGTTGCGATATCTAACGGCAGTCAGTTTTGCGACATTTAGGGGTGTTTGCGACATTTACCGGCAATGGTGCGACATTTACCGGCGTTCCGACATATAACGGCGCCACAATGTAGAAACAAGAAAATTAACATACTTGCTTATCGTGACTAGGTGGAATTTGTTAGACAAGGGAAATAAATCTAAAAGCTATATATTTGAGTTGTGCCCTTTTGAACCTTTATATTTTTTTATTTTTTATTATTATTTTTATTTATTTATTTATTTATTTATTTATTTTTATTTTTATTTTTTTGTAAAAAAGTGCTTATTGATTAAAATAATTTTAACTAAGAAAGCCGTCAACATGAAATTTGAAATACTTGTTTATCATTACAAGGCACAGTTCTTATACAAATACAAAATTATGAAAGGGAAGTTATTCCCCTATAATAAGAATAGAATTAATTATGTAGAATGCCTAAAACTATGGAAAAAAATCAACATATCACTTTGCGTATTTTTTATTATTATGACAATGCACAGAAGTAAGACAAAATATATTATCCTGAAAGCAATTTTTTTAGAGTTATGTCCCTTTTTAACACAAAAATAATATTGATAGGTGTGATTGCTATGAATTTAATAACAATGACCAGGGGCTTTAGGCTGCTTTTATAACGGTTTTGCCACGGGTACTTTGCTTAAGAAAATCCGGATAATCTTCTCTAAAGGACCTAAATGAATGAACTCGTCAACATGAGAGGTAAGTCAGGAATATGTATGGGAAGATTGTGTATAATTTGTATTTTGGTTAATTAATTTCATTTCAAATAAGTTCCAAAATTCAAGTTCTTATCAATTTTGGCTTCGATCACTTTTGAAGCCCAATATTTATTAGTTAAACTAAAAGTTTTATTTTACAGCAGAACACTTCTGTTACAAAAGGGGTTATTGAATCAATGTGCAATGTGGTCAATATTTGTAATTATCCAGAGAAAAATGGAAGCTTTACTGTTACATGTAGACTAAGTTAAAACAAATCTTAACATCATTGCGAATCTGTACTTCAAAACATGATCACAATCATTTGGAAATTTATCGGTTTTCAACGTTAACTTTTCAATACATTTCCAGTTGTTTCAAAGAATTTTGATCATTGAAGAATACAGTTAAAAACGTTCTGCACAACACGCGCTCTTATGTCTGCTTATGTCAGGGTTAAATAAATTGTCGACAAATGAATTTAATATGTCAAAGTTTAATGTGATTTGAAAATCTCCCTTCAATACCTCGCCATACATTTCAAATCAACAAAAGGCTTTTAAATCCTCATACTAAAACGCTTTTCAAAAGTATAAGCAGTTTATAATCCAAATTACAAGTTTTCACCTCTTTGAGTGGACTCGCCTGTCAAACCGAATAAAGCGTGCTTTGTGTATTTGAAATTGTGCAATTGTTTATGTCATTAATGTTAGCTTAGTAAACATGATTGGTATCACGAAAAAAGCGAAATTGACTTTATTTTTGACAGGTTTTTTATTGATGATTATTGTTATTATTTCAGACAAAAACATTCATACTCGAACTATTGGATCTTACAAAGTAATTGGTGAGAATCCATATTTTAAAGAGAAACCTGTGAAAATAATATTATATTGGACTACTTTGTTTCGTAAACAAACGCCTATAGATAAACACCGGAAGTGTCTTAGCACGTGCGAAGCAAAGTGCATTGTGACAGACGACAAAACACAAATAGAAAATGCGGACGCAGTCGAATTTCATCTTTCAGATATATGGACACAAATTTGGCGGATCGGAACAAAATCTATTGTAGAATTTCCAAACTACAGAAGACCAGATCAAGTTTGGATTTTAGCCAATAAGGAACCGCCGCCACATTTATGGGGAGATATTCAGATTTTCAATGGATTGTTTAATTGGACGCGGTGGTATAGGACCGACTCTGATGTTTGGTTGCCGTATGGTGTAGTTCACCCCTATAACGAGACTGAGCAAGCTGAAGTGGCCTACAAATTAAAGAACCGGAATTTTTATAAAGAAAAAACCAAGGGGATAGCTCTTACAATTAGCAACTGTTTCGATGCTGGTCGGAGATACCAGATTATAAAAGAACTAAATAAGTTTATAGATATAGACAAATATGGGAAGTGTTATAACAGAGTGTGCGGAGATACCGCTCATCAGGATGACCAATCATGCGGTCGTCTGCTCAGAAATTACAAGTTCTATATAGCGTTTGAAAATAATTTTTGTAAAGACTATATCACAGAAAAGTACTGGATGGCTTTGGAAAGAGAACAAATACCTATTGTAAACTGGAAGTATTTCAGTCCAAGTGTAGTTGTACCAAACTCATACATAAACATTTTTGATTTTGACACTATACAACAGCTAGCACAATATCTCAAACTCGTTAGCTCGAATGAAACTTTGTACAACAGTTATTTAGAGCATAAACAGTTTTATACAGATCGTAGAGACATGTGCGACGCTTGTTCGGTTTGTCATGCACTTCACGACAAGGACAGACCAGCTCAAGTATATACAGATATAGAAGGATGGGTGCGCGAAGACTCGTGCGAGAAAGTTAATGTAAGTGTTAACACGTGCACATCACGTGTACGAACAAACGAGTGTAACTGTGCAATATGAGCATACATTTTTCATTTGACATAAAGAAGCCCTTTTGTGACTTTCGAAATTTTATTTATCGCTACAAACCTTTTTTAATCGGGATTAAAACAAATTTCAATATACTTAAAACGGCTTAAACCGTTAAACGGTTTATATTTTTGTATTAAGTCTATCGCAATATAAATATTTATAATATGCAATTATAATGTATGTAGTTGCCGTTTCCTCAACTGCTGAATGGAAAATATACCCAAAACTAACTCGATTTTAACCTGTTAAATGAGATTATAATTATACAATGTATATACATGTATATTATTTCCTTTTTTATGCCCCCCGGGCATATACTAATTGAACCGTCCGTCCGCCTGTCCGTCTGTCCGTACGAGGTTAACCTAGAACGGCAAGTTGGATTTTTCTTAAGTTTTACTTGTACCAATGGCTTAATAATTTACACACTTATTCCATACAAAGTATATAATATGGGCAAGTTACATAACTATGGCTTCCATTTGCACCAAGTTATGACCCTTTTCATCACTCAGAAAATGAATAATGGTTAACCTAAACCGGCAAGTTGGAAATATGTTACGCTCTATCTGAATAGCTTAATAATTTTCACACTTACTTATCAATACAATGTGCATGATATTGCCAAGTTATATAAATGTGCCATCCATTTTCCCAGTAATTTCCCTTTTTATCACTTTGAAAATAGGGCCTTGGATTTATAAAAAAATTTCACCTACTCACTTAATTTATTTAATGATATCGGTGGATACCTTTAACGGTACTCTACTTTTTTGTGGCGTTAGGCGTCTCTAGGTCAAGGTCAAGGTCACTTGTATAAAAAAATAAATATAAACATTTCTGCTCATATGGCCTTTATTTTTAAGTTAATGTCTTTCATGTTTATAATTGTCATACCAAGGGAGGTCCTCTTCCTTTTCCTTCAGTACTTTTACAGATACCGCCTCCGTGGTCGAGGGGTTAGAGTCGATAACTTCTAATCCAATTACCTCTCTGGCGAGGGTTCGATCCCCGGGAGATGCCTTGGTAGTTTAGCGCGGAGGAAGGTAGTCTAGTACTGGTGTAACTCTCCAGGAACGGTGGTTAGGAAACTACCCGCCTATATGACTGAAATACTGTTGGGAAAGGCGTAAAATGAAACAAACAAACAAACAAAAACACTTTTACAGGTGTATTAACCTTATTCTATCGACAGATGTCTTGTATATTTTGTTGGAACATAAAATTGAGGTATTCTCATTTGGATGGAGGTAGGGGTCAGTTGGGTCAAGGTCACCAGTGCTAAAAATAGATTTTTACACTTTTGCTCATACAGCCTTTATTTTTGACAGATTTGTATTATAACTGGTAGAAAGATAACTTACATGGTATTCTTCCTTTGGATGAAGTTAGGGGTCAGTTGGGTCAAGGTCAACAGTGCTAAAAATAGATTTTTACACTTTTGCCCATATACAGCCTTTATATATTGACAGATTTATTTCATATTTGGTAGGAAAATAAGTTGCATGATATTCTTCCTTTGGATGGAGTTAGGGGTCAGTTGGGTCAAGGTCACCAGTGCTAAAAATAGATTTTTTACACTTTTGCCCATACAGCCTTAATTTAAAAAAAAAAATTACTAGCAAGAATCTGAGCCGGGGGGCATTTGTATTTGACAAGCACGTTCTTGTTTTATTTCGGAATGGAGAATGTTAATCATGATTTGTGATATGTTATATTTTATGCTTTGCTTTGCGATGCTATACTATGCGGTGCGGTGCCGTGCCGTGCCGTGTCGTGCTATGTTATGATTTGCAAATATAGTCTGGTACTAGTTGTTAAAACTTCATCCAGATTTTTTTCGTATTCAGTTTTGTTTTTATTTTATATTTTACAGCATTGGAATCATTTCTTGAAAAATATATACGCTCAAAGGTTCCAGATACTTGGTTTTTGACGTCACTGTATGACTAGCATAGTACGATGGTCAGTGCCAGTTCGAAGGAGCTCGGATAAAAGACGTGCAGAAATTAGCTGATGTCACTGAACAGAAGTGTGTTGATATGGGGATCACTTCTGACAATGGCGGCACAATACTGGACATAAAAATTAATAGTAAAGAACAGGATTTCAAAAAGTTAAAATCATATATCGACTTAGTACTGTCTTTTTTCTTACACCTGAAAGAAAAATATGCTAAAGAAAAATAAGTATTGCTAAATAGTACATGTATATAAAACACCTGTAAATGGTAGAGAGAAAAATCTAACGAGAAAAATATTCCCTTTGAAAGCATGACGCATTATTATGAATGTCCCTGCATTGCAGTCAGAAACTTTGTATGATAAACCATTATTTTTCCTTCTCGGTAATATTGTTTAACTACTATATGATATTGAAGAAGTTCTTATAAATAACTCAGATTCAGCATTAGAAAGAAAAGGGGAAAAAAGGAGTAGAAAAAAAAATACGCACGTGATAAAATAAATGGTAGTGTCGCATATTTTGTAGAAGTGTAAAAGTGTTGTTTTTGTTGTTGTTGTTTTCTTTTTTAACAATTTTACTTCAATATCTAACAAAAAGGTAAGTTTGTGTATGTTCAGGAAAAGCGCGTTAAGAAAAAAAAGTTGAATAGACAAGTCGAATGGAATGTGATATTATGTTGTCATGATTTTGTTTTCTTCACATTAAATATCCCAGTATGATAACGTGTTTTATTATCACTGCATGGTTATATACAAGCATATTGGATTGTTTGTGTCATATATTGTATAGTTGCCTTGATTACAGTCTAAACAATTTTTTTTATAATATTTTTCAATTAGAATGAACTATTATGAATGCTTGAAGCTAATAAGAGTCCGCGTCCAGGAACTAATCAGTACTGTTGTGGCCCAAGTAGGACTCGAATCAATGATCCCTGATTTGAGAGGCAGATAACTTTAACCACTATAGACCGCTGCTCCATTGAAGTTTTCTTTTACAGTGGCGGCCGAAGTAGAAAAATGATGGAATATGACGGGTCAAATAAAAGCAACAGAAAGTGACAGGTCATATGCAAATAGAAGCGTGTCAATAGAAAAATTGTAGATCATGGCAAGAGAAATATGGCAGATCATGTCAAAAGAAATATGTTAGATCAGGGCTAGAGAAATATGGTAGATCATGGCCAGAGAAATATGGTAGATCATGGCCAGAGAAATATGGCAGATCATGTCAAAAGAAATATGGTAGATCATGGCCACAGAAATATGGTAGATCATGGCTAGAGAAATATGGTAGATCATGGCCAGAGACTATTGTAGATCATGGCCTGACAAATATGGTAGATCATGGCTACAGAAATATGGCAGATCATGACAAAAGAAATATGGTAGATCATGGCCACAGAAATATGCTAGATCATGGCCACAGAAATATGCTAGATCATGACTTGAGAAATATGGTAGATCATGGCCACAGAAATATGGCAGATCATGGACAGAGAAATATTGTAGATCATGGCTAGACACATATGGTAGATCATGGCTACAGAAATATTGTAGATCATGACAAAAGAAATATGGTAGATCATGGCCAGAGAAATACGGTAGATCATGGCCACAGAAATATGGTAGATCATGGCCACAGAAATATGGTAGATCATGGCTAGAGAAATATGGTAGAGCATGGCTAGAGTTATGTGGTAGATCATGGCTAGAGAAATATTGTAGATCATGGCTACATAAATATGATAGATCATGGCTACAGAAATATGGTACATAATGGCCTAAGAAATATTGTAGATCAAGGCTAAAGAAATATTGTAGATCATGGCTACAGAAAATGGTAGATCATGGCAACAGAAATATTGTAGATATGGCTACAGAAATATGGTAGATCAGGGCTACAGAAATATGGCAGATCATGGCTACAGAAATATGGTAAAGCATGTCTACAGAAATACAGTAGATCATGGCTAGAGAAATATTGTAGATCATGGCTAGAAAATAAGGTAGACCATTGCTTGAGATATATGGCTCATGATCATGGCTAAAGACATTTGGTAGATCATGGCTAGAGAAATTTGGTAAATCATATGGAAAATGATCCACAGGTTCCCCAGGAGTATCTTGTTGTACACGAAGATTTATTTGAAATCTCTCTGAGCTTCCTGTCCCAGTTAAAGAAAATATAGAACATATGCAAATAGAAGCGTGACAATAGAAAAATTGTAGATCATGGCCAGAGAAATATGGCAGATCATGTCAAAAGAAATATAGTTGATCAGGGCTAGAGAAATATGGTAGATCATGGCCAGAGAAATATGGTAGATCATAGCCACAGAAATATGGTAGATCATGGGCACAGAAATATGGCAGATCATGGCTAGAGTAATATGGTAGATCATGGCTAGAGAAATATTGTAGATCATGGCTACAGAAATATGATAGATCATGGCTACAGAAATATGGTACATAATGGCTACAGAAATATTGTAGATATGGCTACAGAAATATGGTAGATCAGGGCTACAGAAAAATGGCAGGTCATGGCTACAAAAATATTGTAGATATGGCTACAGAAATATGGTAGATCAGGACTACAGAAAAATGACAGATCATGGCTACAGAAATATTGTAGATATGGCTACAGAAATATGGCAGATCATGGGCTACAGAAATATGTAAAGCATGTCTACAGAAATACGGTAGATCATGGCTATGGAGAAATATTGTAGACCATGGCTAGAAATAAGGTAGATCATTGCTTGAGATATATGGCTCATGATCATGGCTAAAGACATTTGGTAGATCATGGCAAGAGAAATTTGGTAAATCATATGGAAAATGATCCACAGGTTCCCCAGGAGTATCTTGTTGTACACGAAGATTTATTTGAAATCTAAGAAAATATATACAAACAACCAAGGTTATAAACTTTGTATTTAACTATTATCATGCTAATGATTCAATGTTGCAATCTTGATTTTTGTAAAGAAAATGAGAATATTATAATAAAAAATACATATATAAAGATTTGACGTGAAGTATTTTGAAGATGATAAGTAGGTAAATGTAAATAAAGGTAAGAACCTTGTCACATATTATGCGAGTGTTGAGAAGAAATATATATCTGAAGTTTGAAATAATTAAATGCCTTCAGAAATAGATTCTTAGGAGAAAAATGTCAGACTTAATTAATATAAGCATTATTATTCTATACTTAAAGCCAACATAATGGGTTTGCGACCAGCATGGATCCAGACCAGCCTGCGCATCCGCCCAGTCTGATCAGGATCCATGCTGTTCACTTACAAACCCTATAACAAGTAGAGAAAACCCCGATAGCGAACAGTTTGGTCCTGATCAGATGCGCGGATGCGCGGTTTGGTTCCCGATCTTTCCCTTTTTCGCAAACGCACTATGTTGGTTTTTTTTGTGAAAGCGGTCATATGTAAATATTTCGTAAAAAAGCCAAACCCGCCATTTTTTTTGTTTTTTGTCCCAAACCCTTTTTGGGGAAAAAGAGGCTTTTTTTCCCTTTCCCTTTTTTTCAGGGACAAGTAAAAATTCCCTTTACATTACCTTGTTCTTTTTTCCCTTTTCCTACTCTTCAATTTAAAAAACCCTTAAAAGCAAAATCTTACAAATTTTACTCTATTTGACGAAAATCGTCGCCTATTGGCTTTTTGTTGTTTTGGGGAAGGGGCCCTGTCGTCATTTTTTTCTTTACAAAAGGGGATATTAATTTAAAACTTTATTTAAAATGGAAAAAATAAATAAAAATTTGCTTCCCCTGCGAAATTTGCGATTTTTTCAAAAGTTTAGATCGAGGGGTCCTTTGTTTCATCCCGCGGGAGAAAAAATTGACAGTTTTTGGTTTGGGGACAGCTAGTGGTATTTAAAGCCAAGAGGTAACTTAATAGTGTGTGCTCATTCATTTCTATGCATGTTTTCATGTAAATATAAGTCTTATTTGTTGCTGTCAAATTTTTAACGTTAGCAATAGTTTTTAATATTTTTGTGTTTTATATTAATATTTTCATGTATATAACCAAGCAACAATTCATTTTAGACCAAACCTGGCCTTTCAAATACACTGTAGCGTTTGCAATGGTGACAGTATTGCTTTTTTAATTTATTGTTTTATCATAATTTTATTTTAAAATGTTTTAATATTAAACCTATAAAAAGCAAGCACATCCATTTTTATCGGAATAACAAGATATTTTTAAGATAACACTTGAGGTGGACAACTCATATGCAAGTCTGCTATATATATGCAATGCAGATTTAATATACCCCTTCTCACACAAAGTTGCCAGTTTCATGTCACATTGTAAGATACAATATTAGAGCGCAACTTTTTATCTTTTTTTCTTCTTTTTTTTTTTGGGGGGGGCGGGGGCGGGCGGTGGGTTGAACACACACCAGATACCTTATAATAATTTATAGATTAAATTTAAGAATGCAACCTTTTTTTGTATGTGTTTGGAGAAATTGCTTTCACTGAAACAGAAAAGTAGTATCTGCTTATATTTAGTTTGCGTAATTCCTCATTGAAAAGCCCTAAATACGGTGGTATGGCAGATAAGTTGGGGCAACTATTCCGTCTAAGTAATAGAAAGAGCACCGAAAACACGAGGTTATCTGATTTTGTAGCGAGGGGGCGTAGCCCCCGAGTATTAATCAGATTACCGAGTGTTTTTGGTGTTCTTTCTCGTTTTGTATCATAGTCAAACATTAAAACACGTTCCCTGTTGTCACAATATGAAACCCCGGCAAAAATGAACCAATGAACGAACATCCTGAATATGATATTTCTGTCGCTTTCCCTTTCTCTGCCGTCACAATATGTGAACCCCAGCAAAAATTAGCCAATCAATGGGCATGCTCTGGAGTGCGGGTAACTAATACGCCTGCAGGACAGGGCGGACCGTGAGACAGGGCGGACCGTACCAGGGCGGACCGTGACTCTGGACTAGGCGGACCATATTTTGGGACAGGGCGGACTGTCACTCGAGACTAGGCGGACCTTGATTTAAAAAAGTATTTATATGTGTACTAATGTAATAAAAGTATTAAATTATAGATGTTTTTGTTCTTCGTATTAATATTTTTAAATGCAAATATAAAAGTAAAAATATAAAATAAGTTTTAAAAGTTCATGTGTAATTGTATATTAATTTGCTGAATGGACGCTGAAATTGTATGGACTTAATGCCTATGTGGTATAATATTGATCTTGCCAATTTAAAAAGCAGCCTGGAATTTTCAGGTGTACAGACTCCTTCAATGTATTGTAATAACGGATTTTTATTATCATGAATTTTATATTTAACTTTTAAGGTTATTAGCTAAACGATTTTATGAATTAAAAAGTATTAATACACAGGGTTAGCTCAGACAATTATTGTCATAGTACTATAATTAACAGACAGATAGGCACAACTTTGACCTCTTTGGCCATATAATTCATGACAGATTGTGTCTAAATACTGACTTTCTATTCTTAAAAAAATAGATACATGTATTTTATTATTGTTAATAGTTTTACAGTCTCTTATAACTCCTTATGTAGGAGTGGCTTTGTGTAAAAATTTTGTGTTTTATTTCTTAAATATATGTAAAGATGCACAAAGATGAGACTTAAATAAAATATTTGAGTTGAGTTGAGTTGACTTTTTTTTCAAGAAATTATTTGTAACTGCGTCGACTGCGTCGCAGGTGACAATTGACCAATTATCGGGATATTACAATGTCATTGTTTGTATAAGGTGCTAACGATGCTAAAATTGATAAACTTTATTAAACAATAAGACACATAAAAAATATATTTTGTTGTACAATACACGAAATAACAATGATAACGAATAACATCACATTAAAATTATTTGCAATACAACACAATAACAAAAAATGAAGTGACATAAAAGGAGTCTGTACACCTGAAAATTCCAGGCTGCTTTTTAAATTGGCAAGATCAATATTATACCACATAGGCATTAAGTCCATACAATTTCAGCGTCCATTCAGCAAATTAATATACAATTACACATGAACTTTTAAAACTTATTTTATATTTTTACTTTTATATTTGCATTGAAATATTAACACGAAGAACAAAAACATCAATAATTTAGTACTTTTATTACATTAGTACACATATAAATATTTTTTTAATCACGGTCCGCCTCGTCTCGAGTGACGGTCCGCCCTGTCCCAAAATATGGTCCGCCTAGTCTAGAGTCACGGTCCGCCCTGTCCCACGGTCCGCCCTGTCCGTAATTCACTAATACCCGCACTCCAGTTAACGCACTGTGCATGTATATGTATACGATTTAACCCTTACACATTTTCAACAGAAAGGTCTCCAAACTATGATACAATTCATTGATATTGTTTGGTGTCTATGAATATTCAATCTTAAATTAAATTCAATTGTATTACGAACATACAAAACGATGAAGCAATTTGCATTTGATTGGATAGAGACGCTAAAATACATATATATTGTATGTCTCTGGATTGGAAAAGACAATTTATTATTTATTAATAAAGTACGAAATGTTTTGCGCGAAAATATTGAGTACGAATTGAAATTGTTCGTGTCTGCGGGTGGCGGTTTCAGTTTAGCAAAGAAAAGACATAAACACTTTATTCAGGTGAGGTGATAAATTATCTTGCTAGTTTGTGTAGTTGTTAATTTTGTGCACAAAATTACACATTAAGTTTGTACTTTGTAATGTAAGGAAGTAAAAATATCACTGTTTTAGGGACATAGCAAACATGTGGCAGGTAATATAATGATTCGCCCCATAACGACTCGCCCCATCCCACCTGATATTAAACATGTTTTAATTCATTGGATTGAAAAATATTTATGGTTCGTTTTTTTTTCATTACTTTGTTGTTTTTTCCTATAGGTTACATTTAATAATTTAATTTGAGATAGAAATCATAAGAAAAATATCAGTTCGATAGAACAATAAATTTAGATTGAATTAAAGATAAGGTTTTATAATAGTGGTTTTTAGAGTTTTCTAATATTCTTTATTTTAAAATTAAATGTATGCATCTGTGTAAATGCTTATACCTTTATTATATATATGCACCTGGTGATACTATTGTATTGTTTTAAATTTCTGACCCTGATAAATACCTGACTCAGAAAGTTGAAGGACGCTTAATTAAACCAAAGAGATTCAGTGACTGTGAAACCAAAAACATTATAAGAGTAGCCAATAACACTAGATCATTTAAAACCATAAACGCACAAACAAATCAATTTAAAAACTCCTTCTTTGTGAAAACACTTGAGGATTGGAACCATCTGAAAGATTCAGTGGTGCTTGCAGTTACAATAGGGGCTTCAAATCAGCCCTTCAGAAACTCGACTAGAGTTCCTCCACTCCCCGTAGGACATATACCAGAAGTGGTCCTCCAACGTATTCACACAGATACAGATACACATTATTATCTGTTACATAATCTATCTCTGGATACTGCCAACCCCTCTTACGAGTGTTAAAGGCAGGAATTTAGTGCACGTCGGATTGTTAGTAAAAGGTGAAGAGAAAAGCTAAAAAGAAAAGTCCAAACATTGACATGCTTGGAAGGTGAGACTGAAAATGTATTCTAGTCATGGTTAAAATGTTAATAGTGAAACAAGATGATAAGAGATAAAATAGTTTAAAAACACTGGGAGTAAGACTAGTACTGCAAACCCACCACTGCCTGTTTGAACTGACTCAGGTTGGGCAGGGTGGCAATGTTACTAGGAAGTTTATCCCCCATAGTATAATGCTATGAGGGAAGAAAGAGTACTTATGGTAGTCGGAGGATACCTGTATTTGACGTAGGGATAAGGGATGCATATGTCTGGTTAATCTATGTGGGGTTTGAACATAAGTTGGGAGATTTAATTGCAACTAGGTTATGGTATATCTTATAAAACATTATCAGTCTACAGTCCAGTCTGCGATGTTCAAGGGATCGCCAGCCCCAGTTCTTCCTGCATGGCTGTGACACTAGAGTGAGGGGAGTAATCCCCTTTTAACCCATCTTATTGCACGTCTCTGGATCATCTCAACTTTGTCAATATTGTTTTAGTATAAGGAGACCAAATAGATGAGGCATATTCAACCTGTGGGCGGACCAGGGACTTGTATGCTAGTTCTTTTACTTTCTCATTTTTAGTGATGACATTTCTTTTATAAAGCCAAGGGATCTGTTTGCATTGGAAGTTATTCGAGATATATGTGTATTAAATTTAAGGTCAGCAGATAGATCTAGTCCGAGATATTTAGCATTTGTAACAGACTCTAGGATTTGGCCATGGAGCATATATTTGTGTTTAATTATGGTCTTATTTTTGGTGATATGGATGACTTGGCATTTTGAAGGGTTAAACTCCATGTCCCACTGCTTCTCCCACAGAACCATATTGTCTAGATCATGTTGGAGAGTTCAACAAAACCACAGGAACTTGAAATTCTATCAATATTAATGATAATATCCAAAATATACCCCCTATACAGTATAAATAAACTGGGCAGGTTGCTCAGCATATTTAGATTTGCACCTGGGGTTTCGCTTGTGGATTTATCCAGTATTTGTAGTGTTATTTCCCTTGACTTAGTAAAAAGATTGATAGAACAGTGGCGCGGTGGGGGCACCTGTGTCCTATGGACACATTTCTAGTTTATACTGTATAGGGGGGTATATTTTGGATATTATCATTAATATTGATAGAATTTCAAGTTCCTGTGCCTAAAACTGAAAACCTGTTACTGATCATGAGATGAATATACTGCATAATAATAATCAGTAGTGGGATGTTGTCACAACCTTAATTGCTCTACAATATGTAAGTTATACAGTTATTTCTAAGACTGAGGCGCTATATTGTGAGCAGCGAGTATTGTCAGCATGGTCTGAATCAGACAGATATCCTATGTATTCCAGTTAAAACATTCCACACACTAGCTTGAAATTACTCTAATCTGACAGCAAAACTAGAAATAAGATGTAAATGGGTTACACAAAATGTGTAGATTGTTTTAAAGTGGAAAACATAAATGTACCTGACTGTGTAAGTTAATGACAGGAATTGTTGGATAATTAATAGCATCAAATATTTTATTTAAATGCATGTAAGTATGACATTATGGCTCTTTTCCTATAGCATGTCTTATTTGTAAAAGACTATTGATATAAGGTTGCTGCTAAGAAAGATTGCAAATAATCTGATTGAAATCAGCTTCTAAATAATGCTTTGCTTTGAGGTTGTTAAGTTTATTTAGAATTTATTTAAGTTCAATTTTAGGAAGCTATAAGCTTGATATTGAAACAGTCTCTCAAATCCTTTCCTGGAACCAACCAGTACTAAACAATGAATGTAAAGTTTCTTGCTCACAGAAACAAAGGCTTGCCTCGGCGGTCTTTGAACATACATGACCAGCAATCCTTAGATTACTTGTCTTTCTTTATTAACCTCTCGGCCATGCCGCCACTATTTTTAAGGATGTAATGGTTACCTATTGGAGGTTTTCTTCTGGAGACCTTAAGCCAATCAGTGGCTTCAGTATCATGTAAACCTAAGAAGATTTAAACCTTTAGTCAGAATAGGATTGCAAATCCTGTAATGTGTAGGCAATATTCAGATTATTGAATCCTGGAATGAATCTTAATTTCTTTATCGATGAATTTATAATATTATTCACTTAGAGGGCAATCTTTATCAATGACCAATATATGATGTAACATAATTTTTATCTTTTCCACATTTAGGATTAAGTTATATTAATTCTGTTTTGTTCTCTAAATATGGAGGAAATAAGATATTTTCTTGCCCACCAATGGCTTACCAGTATCTTATGCTGAATATGCAGATTTAATAAAGATATGGAAAAAGTGACTGATAAAGAAGTATATTGTAATTCAGAAAATAGCAAGCAAAACTCTGTGTGTAAACTCTTGACAAGAGTTAAGTTTAAAAAAAAAGTGATCAATCAATTTGAATTGCAATGTAAAATATATCCTGATTAAACAAAGCAGTGAAATGAGTGAACTTAATGTATTACATATTGCAATTTCAGTGGATACCTGTAAGGAACTGGTGAAATGATCAAGAAAGCTGTTTGTGAGATATGTAAAGAGGTGGAACATAAATACAGATGTCCTCAGTGCAAGATTGTATAGTATGTAATATTTACATTGAATCTGTGGTGTTTGTATTTACATTTAACATTTACCCTCCTGTCATGTTTGTATAAACATTACCCTCCTGCCTTTTGGATACATACAGGCTGCTTTGACTTTGACCCGTGCATTTAACATATGATTAAAACATCACTAAAACAACATTACCTGAAAAATTTCAGTATCAAAATATAAAATGGAACATTGTGTAACTTGGCCAAATGCTTTATACTAGAAGTTGGGAAAATACTTCCATTACAACCATTAAAACAATGAAGACCATTTTTTTCCACATTCTGTATTCCAAGGGTCCCGGGTTCGAGTCTAGGTCAAGCTGCACATTTTTGTGCCCCCACATTAGTGGCGGGCATTTAGATTTACCCTTGTCCGGCCGTCCTTCCGTCCGTCCGTTCACTTTTGTGTCGCACGTAACTCAAAAAGTATTTGACCTACAGTCATGAAACTTTACAGGAATGTTGATCAGCATGTGTAGTTGTGCACCTGGGTATTTTCGTGTGCATATTTTTAGTATTTTCAGAGTTGTTGCCCTTGACTTAGTAAAATTTTGCAATTTTCAACTTGTGTCACATGTAACACAAAAAGTATTTGACCTAGAGTCATGAAACTTTACAGGAATGTTGATCAGCATGTGTAGTTGTGCACCTGGGTATTTTCGTGTGCATATTTTTAGTATTTTCAGAGTTATTGCCCTTGACTGAGTAAAATTTTGCAATTTTCAACTTGTGTCGCATGTAACTCAAAAAGTATTTGACCTACAGTCATGAAACTTTACAGGAATGTTGATCAGCATGTGTAGTTGTGCACCTGGGTATTTTCGTGTGCATATTTTTAGTATTTTCAGAGTTATTGCCCTTGACTTAGTAAAATTTTGCAATTTTCAACTTGTGTCGCATGTAACTCAAAAAGTATTTGACCTAGAGTCATGAAACTTTACAGGAATGTTGATCAGCATGTGTAGTTGTGCACCTGGGTATTTTCGTGTGCATATTTTTAGTATTTTCAGAGTTATTGCCCTTGACTTAGTAAAATTTTGCAATTTTCAACTTGTGTCGCACATAACTCAAAAAGTATTTGACCTAGAGTCATGAAACTTTACAGGAATGTTGATCAGCATGTGTAGTTGTGCACCTGGGTATTTTCGTCTGGATATTTTTAGTATTTTCAAAGTTATTGCCCTTGACTTAGTAAAATTTGGCAATTTTCAACATGTGTCGCACATAACTCAAAAAGTATTTGACCTAGAGTCATGTAACTTTACAGCAATATTGATCAGCATGTGCAGTTGTGCACCAGGTATTTTTGTCTGGATTTATTTAGTATTTTTAGAGTTATTGCCCTTCACTTAGAAATTTTTTGCAATTTTCAACTTGTGTCGCAAGTTTCTCAAAAAGGATTTGACATAGTCAATAAACCTTATAGGCAGGTTGCTCAGCATATTTTAGGTTTGCACCTGGGGTTTCGCTTGTGGATTTATCCAGTATTTGTAGAGTTATTTCCCTTGACTTAGTAAAAAGATTGACAGAACAGTGTCGCGGTGGGGGCACCCGTGTCCTATGGACACATTTCTAGTTCTCACTCTGTGACACTTCGTGTCCAACACAGGGTGTGTCAAAATGTGCACAGCCTGACCGGGATTCGAACCCGGGACCCTCGGAATACCGTTCCACGGCTGTACTGACTGAGCTATCCGTCCGCTTACACACCATGTCCCCTAAATAGCGAACAGTTCTGAACAGTGACATAATTGTCTATTCAATTTTCAAACGTCTGCCCGTTATTTTTATGCCCCCGCCATGTAATGGCCGGGGCATATAGTGTTACCCTGTTCCGTCATTCCGTCCTTCCGTCATTCTGTCATTCCGTCATCATCAGTTTCCGTTCATTATCTTAAGAACGGTTGCACACATTCAACTCAAATTTGACATATGGATATGTCATGAGAAAATACAGGTCAAGTTCAAAATTGGTCATGGTTCGATGATTTTTGGCAGAGTTATGCCCCTTTTACTTTGAAAATAATATGAAATATCAGTTTCCGTTCATTATCTCCCCAACGGTACAACACATTCAACTCAAACTTGACATATGGATATGTCATGAGAAAATACAGGTCAAGTTCGAATTTGGTCATGGTTCGATGATTTTTGGCAGAGTTATGCCCCTTTTACTTTGAAAATGATATGAAATTTTAAGTTTCCATTCATTATCTCCCCAACGGTACAACACATTCAACTCAAACTTGACATATGGATATGTTATGAGAAATACAGGTCAAGTTCGAATTTGGTCATGGTTTGATGATTTTTGGCAGAGTTATGCCCCTTTTACTTTGAAAATAATATGAAATTTTAAGTTTCCTTTCAAATTCTCCCCAACGGTACAACACATTCAACTCAAACTTGACATATGGATATGTCATGAGAAAAAACAGGTCAAGTTCGAATTTGGTCATGGTTCGATGATTTTTGGCAGAGTTATGCCCCTTTTACTTTGAAAATAATATGAAATTTTCAGTTCCCGTTCATTATCTACCCAAAGGTACAACACATTCAACTCAAACTTGACATACGGATGTGTCAAAGGAATGGGCAGGTCAAGTTCAAATTTGGTCATGCTTCAATGATTTTTGGCAGAGTTATGCCCCTTTCACTTTGAAAGCAATATGAAATTTTCAGTTTCCGTTTATTATCTCCCCAATGGTACAACTCAAATTTGACATATGGATATGTTTTTGGAATGCCCAGGCCAAGTTCGAATTTGGTCATGGTTCAATGATTTTTGGCAGACTAATGCCCCTTTCACTTTGAAAATAATATGAAATTTACAGTTTCTGTTCATTATCTACCCAACAGTGTTACATATTCAACTTAAATTTGACATATAGATATGTCAAAGGAATGGGCAGGTCAAGTTGGAATTTGGTCATGGTTTGATGATTTTTTGGCAGAGTTATGTCCCTTTCACTTTGAAAATAATATACATGTAGATACATCTTAGGAATAAGCAGTTTAAGTTTGAATTTGGTTGTGGTTCAATGATTTTAGACAAACTTATCTTTCCTGAATGTAGGAAAAATTTTGAACTTTCAGTTTCAGCACTCATACTTTTAGCCATTATTTTGGCTACAAATATGCAATATGCTATTTTTAAAAGGTTAAGAATGAATAATTTCAGTGCCTTGAACAGTGTATGAAAATGGTTTGTGTTAACATTGAAAAGTTTTAAGGGCTTTGAACTTAAAATGAAAAAAAAATTAATGCACCATCTGAAATTTTGGCTGCATGCGGGGGGCATCCGTGGCATGATGACACATTTCTAGTTTATATTCAATTTTAAATGTAATTTTGTAAATATTGCACACATTGCATCTGTTAAATTTAACTTTAAAATATTTAGATTTTTGTTTAAATATGATTAAAACATCATACTGTTACACAAAACTTCACTTGAACTTGAACAGGCAATTGAATCAATTCCAATGTAAATAAATGAATTTCAATCTACCATGTTAAAGATCTGGTCATCAAATGTGATATTAGAATTAATGTACTGATAAATTAATTAATGTATCAATAAATAAAATTGATAAAATTTAACTTATATTACAGACATGTACATTAATTTTTTTTTTATTGTTTTTTTTCCAGTTGTTCGTTACCATGTTATAAGACACACAAAGGTAATGTATATAATTATTCTAGTTTCTCTTTCCTTTTCCAAATATTATATGTATAATCTTTTCTGTTTTGTAGAATTAATGTGAAATCTATAAAATGCAAGTTATTTGTAGCTTATCATTGTCGGATACCCACGGCTTTAACCATGTTATGTCACGTTACATGTTAATCAACCATGGGTATCCAATAATCTGATGATGGTAGCTTATTGACATTTTACACTGTATTCCTACCCTCACTTTCCGACAGGTTACATTTTTAGCATGATTCAGAAGTTTTTTTTAATGAATTATAAGTGGGGCAGTTGTTATTAATATTATGATGATTATTTAAATTTCAGAGGGTTGTAATAAAAAGGAGGTGAAAGAAGAACAAACTAAAATTGAAGATTTAACAGAAACCTCTGGTAGGTGAACAGGATGATTTATTATTATTTTGTAAGGGAGATAATCCAGTTTGCTTATGCAGAGTTCTTATACATACTCAAGCAATTATGGCACCTTACATTGAACTACTTGCAATATTATTGCACCATGGCCTAACTTAATTGTTCAAAAGACTAATAAATTCAGAGTGAAGATTGATATATTTACATAATTTGTTGTGTGTCTTTAAAATTCCAGCATTTAACTGGTTTTAAATGTGATAAGTTTTTAACTTAAAGTAAAATAAAAAAAAGATCTATTAACAAATCACAATGTATTCATCTACTGGAGAAATGAAGAGTACATTTGAATATGAAGCTGCATTATATCAGGCTAGTATAGACAATACTAGTAAGTTACGACAAACCTTGCTAATGGGAAAAGGTGGCTTTTAATGAGGGATGGTCTCTCATTAATGGGTTATTTTTCTTTGATGTCAGTGAAGTTGAAAAAATAAAAATCATGGCCTTTGATGTGAGGATTACACATGTATGGAAATAGTCTTTTGTGGAGGTGGTAAATAGACACAGGTTTGTCTGTAATTTAGGAGACTGGTGCACTTATTTGTATTTTTATATCATCTATTTTTAGAAACATTGGTTCCAGAGTTTATGTTAGATGATGATCAGTCAGAAGATAGAGTCAGTATAGAACAATTACAATGTCTAGGTAAACAAATTTGTTGATCGGAAAATTAAAAAGATTTTCTTGTTTAAAGTTGAAATTATTTGAAAGCAATTTGCATTATTGACATGTTGTATAATATCATATGCCATTTATATAACCAGGCAAACCTGCTCATTAAGATGGTAGCAACAGACATTTATCTGTTGGCTGCATAACTTAAATTCTTTGATATCAAGATACAGTCGGCATTGTATTAAGAGACCACTCAAGGGACTGTCAAAAAGTGGTCTCTTAATAAAGTGGTCTCTCAATAGAAATCTGGAAAATTCGAGACTTTTTTATATAACAAGTCATAGATATGATAACATCTTTTTTTATAAAAACAAAAACTGTACAATATTATGTATGCATTACAGTTTCGTAATAACATTTATGCCTTCCTTTTTTAAAGTTATCAATATGTGTTTGTTTTTTAGTAGAAATTTGTGTACAAATGTGATCTACGCTCATAATACTAACAGGTCATTTTGACCATGAAACAAAGCATATTGTCTTATATTGTTAATATGTTCATACACATCTCCTGCTGAACAAACATTCAAATCATAAGCCACAGCTCCAGATAATTTTTCATGCAGTGAGTTTTAAACTTCTTGATTTTTTTCATGCAATAAGTTTTCACACTTCCCCGATTTCAAATTCAATAAGGTTTTTAGAGATCTAGGATTTTTTTGTCTTTTTTGTTGTCTAAAGGTTATATTTAATGGAGGTAGTACACGTATTTCATAAAGCATCAGATGAGCACCTACACCATCAGCAACGAAAGGCCTGTAATGTTTAGTTCACTACGTTTTAATGTTTAGTTCACTACGTTTCACGGTTTTATTTCGACTACAAACGATGACATTTGCTTTTAACTCAGACTCAATTCCATGCACGATTTCCTCATTCAATTTATCGGTCTTTACTCTTATTAGTTGTCTGTTATTTTAGCTCGTTCCGGAGTCATTTTCGATTTGATTTTCTGGAAGAGAGATCACTCTGAGCACATGCGGTGTTATGATACGTTATTGCTCTGACAAAATATGTCATAATAAATATTACGATCGGAAAACTGTTTCTTTCTTCCCGATTTTGAAACGATTGCAATTATTATTCAATTCGTTTTTAAACGACAATTATTTGTAACGGTCGTTTAAGAGATACTTTAAAACCAATGACCATGAAAACTATTTGTATGTTTGCTTGTACACATCCAACTTACTCGCTGATTACACAGGTGAGAATGCCCGTAGGTACGATTGTTTGTCACGGCCGTTTAATAGATACTTTAACACTTAATTTTGTACATTTGGGCCGACATTTAGTGGCCGCTGGCCGCGATATAAAATCGTCGTTTAATGGAATTAACTTTTATAGTAAAAATCATTGGGAGGGATTTTATGCGGCCGCTTAATAAAAAAGTCGTTTAATAAGGGTGGACGCAAGTACGATGCCGACTGTATCTGAATTCAACATAAATTGGACAGTCCTTTAATGTAAATTAGGCATAATCTTCAGAAATTCTATCTTATTTTAGAAATTTAGCCTTTTAAAGGTTCATCATCACACAGATGTATTTTAAGACTAAATAATTTACATGTATCTATGTTGTGATTCAGACTTATTCTGTCTCCATTCTAGATGTGCAAAACCAAGTCTGGAAATTCATTGAATATAAAGCTAATTTTTGTATATTTTATACCTTGTCAACAATGAAATATGACATTTCAGAAAACTCAGAAAAGTTAAAAGATATGTTAAGCAATCCACATCTGCGTCAACTGATGACATCACTAGTGCATTCTGGGAATGCTGGTACTCAGCTTGAGAAGGCTATGCAGGAACCAATCTTTACCGAATTTGCTGATACTTGTTTAAATATAATAGATAATAAAACCAACTCAACTTGAAATGAAATCTGTTATCTTTTTTTAGGCTTTATTTGTTATGCACTTAGTTGTTTGTCCATTTGTCTGTATCTTTTGAACTGATGGAAGGAAATTGAAACAACTTGGCAGAAGTGAAATGTTAACGTGCATAGTGCAGGTTTGACCTTCCTCGGGTCAAAGTTAAGATCACATTTGGTCATTATGTATGAATTTTAAAATTGTGTCGGCTCCATATTATTTGGTCTGCTCTGTATCTTTTGAACCTGTACAAGGAAATTAAAATTAATTTGCACAGAAATTTTACTTATAAAATACGAAAATATGAAGAACACAAATTTAGACTTCCTCTGATCAAAATTGACCCTGCCTTTGTGGTTCTCTCGTTTAATGCAGTGGTCAGAAATTTTTCAGTTTCAATATCAAAATTAGCAGGGGAATGATTTATTGAGTGTTCACAAAGTATGTGTTTGATAACCTAAGGCATGAATCCAGTCAGAAATTGATATTTGTATACATGTATAGTGTAATGGAAATGGACTTGGAATTAATTTCTGACTTCAGATTTATGTTCTCATAATTATTTTCTGACTTTGGGTTCTTGAAAACGGGTTTTTAACATTCAAAGAGTCATATCAATGTGGTTCTTCAATGATTACTCATCAATGTCACAATAACTGATGACATTCATAGGTTTCATACTTCATTACCCTTTGAAAATGTTTCTATTGTTGGTAGAGGCAATGTACATGTAGCCAAAATTCCTTTTTTTTAATAAGTAAAATTACTTAAAGCAATCTAAATAAAATATTTTTATGTGCTACTTTCTTGAAAAATAAAGGCAATTTCTCTTAGTCTTCATAAGGAAATGCTGTTTTAATGTAATTTTATTTGACTCTTTTGAAAGGGACTCCACTGAGGGTTTTTTGACATGACAGGACTTGAAATAATTTTTCAAGATTTATTGTTGCACTTCAAAGTTCAAGTAACTTATGAAAAAAAGTTCAGATAATTCACTCAATCCTCTTCTAGTTATAATCATTCTTATAACCACGCTATTCACTCAAATTGGTCTTAGAAAAGCACAAAAATGCAAGATACGATTCATTTCTTAGTATACCATAAAAGTCAAAGTTAACGCCCCCAGGGGCTGAATATTTTTCCAAAAGGGGGGCTATTTTTGACACATTTTAAAATGTGGACGGACGACAGACGACGGAAGCCATTTGGTTGGCCATCCTAAAAGCTCACCTGCACTTTGTGCAAGGTGAGCTAAAAATAGATTCTGAAGGATTGGAATAAAATAATGAATTTACTCATCAGTTCCATATCAAAAAGCCTGGGGGGGGGGCCTTTATTAGGGGAGGGGCATTTAATAGGAATTTTACCATATTTCTTTATTATCTTTAGTATATCTTTCTGTTTAAAGTGCCCCAGTTGGTATTTGTAAGAAAAACAAATCTTTTTTTTAGGTTTGTGGATCTCAGTGGAGTTCCTTTAAGGAATTTCATCCATGAACACAATATTTTAGTTACTAAACATGTTTCTGACATGGACCTTACTGTTCATTATATTCATAAGGATGGGCATGTCCACTTGAAAGCATGGAAATAGAAAAGGACTATAGATGGAAAAAAAACAATGGTTTTCATGGCCATCCTATCATTTTTATGGCTGATCAATATAAGACAGATGGCAATCTATATGTTGCTTTCAATTTAGTTGTAATATTAGTAAAGCATATTTAAAAATAATTGCTAGATTTCATAGCAACGTCTCGATGTAAGAAATTGTTTTGTTCATCACTGATTATCTGTTAATATTTACGGCATAAACCCTGTATGAAAGCTAAATCAACATCGAAGTTGGTTTATCTCTTAATACATGTACTTTCCTATATAATTCTCACTAACGTTTTGCTTTTAAATGCCCATTTGTGTTTTGCATGAACAATTTCTTTATTCATTTATATGTGTTTGACTGTGTAGTTAACCATGAAAGTTTTTATTCTTAGAGCCACAATTAGCAGGTGCCATTGACCACATTACAATTATCAAGCTTAAACATATAACATGACTTTCAAGGTCAGGTCCTTCTGTTCATATTGAATTACTTCACTAAAGTTGTTCCTGGATTCATTTCGCAAGTATAAACCAATTAAATAAAACAAAGTTGTAGCAAACTTCATGAAGTTGAAAGAGGTCATATAAAGTTTTACCTCATTTTCACGTCAGGCAGTATGATGGTGTTGTTGAACTTATCATTATGTTTAAATATTAATGCAATATGTGCATAAATAACCAAGTTGTAAGTAAATCTTGGCATAGATAACTTAGTTCTACAGAATTTAAAATAATTTTCACCTAAGTCCTTGAAGCTTGGATTCTGAATTTATACAACATTGGATTTTGAAGAATGAAAATTTTTGAATGTGAAAATAAAACATAGACAATAGCAAATCATTCTTATAATTTATTCACTTTATACAACAGTTTTTTACAGCATCATCTTTTCTGTACAATTCACTTATACATATATTCTATTCTATGTTATTTATTACTTTAAGTAAAGACTTCATACTCTCTGATTAATTATCAAATGAAAAAATCCTGTATTGGCTTTGCATTCTAAAAGTTTTAAAAACTTGAACTGTTGAATTTGTGTAAGAAATGTGTCCAGTTTTGAATTTGAAAAAGTCCATTTTCAGTTTAAAGTGGTTTAATATCAAAATACAAGATCAGAGCCGCCCCCAAACAGTACAGAGCTTGGTGGCTAATATTTCCCAGTTACACCAGGAAAACAATTAATAAACCCTGCTATTAATGAATACCATACAAATATTCATTCAAACAGTAAATTTACCATAATATATGGTTCATTTGAAATAATATTACCAAACTATTAAAACAAAATGATGCAGGTTTATATTGACAAAAAACAGACATTCAATCTTTACTGCTGAACTTGTAAATCTGACCAAAATCATTATTCATTTCTAGGGAAAATTTTAATATGAGCATTTATCATTTCTTGGAAACTTTTAATGAGATTTTATCATTTCTTGGAAAATTTTAATATGAGCATTTATCATTTCTTGGAAAGATTTTAATGAGTACTGACAGGATTGCAAACGGTGCAGGCCATGCTCAGATGGACGGCACAAACGTGCCAACTTATCTGGATCTGGTTTGGTCACAATGGTAGAATCAGTTGCTGCCAGCAGGTTAGGGGTCAAGGCTTACTTCTTGTGAGATATCATGTGTAATTTACTTTGAAACTGTGTCAATAACATGGACTGTAGGCAATACATGTAATATCTCTACATTAATTTTGATATGAAGAATAACTACATCATATGTAGAAATATTCAGCGTTCACAAGGCATATCAAGTGGTTTTAAAGTGGATTGGTCTAAAATATGCATATTTTTCATAAGTATTTCAAATACATCTTTAGTACTGATAAAAACAATAAAAATATAAAATTTGAATGTTCTTATGAAATATTTCTGCAAAACAAAATGTTGATAAAAGAAGAAAGTATGTATATAATGAATAATAATGTTTTGTTGTAAAACTTTTTATTATCAACACCTGCTATATGTTTATATATGATGTATAAGATCATATATCTAACACTTGCCAAGAATAACCATATATTATCATTCTGTGGTTTGTTGTCATGTATGAACTACATACTATCAATATAATTATTCATGGTATTACAGATCTTCTATTATAGACCAATTCACTTTAAACCACAAAAGAAACAAGAGGGCCATGATGGCCCTGAAGTCGCTCACCTGTATATAGGCCCCCGGAGCGGGGCCAGTTTAAACCCCCAGGGCTTTTATTTGAAGAAACTTGGTAGAAACCCACTAGAAGATGTTTCATGCTAAACATCTAAGGTCTAGCTCGTCAAGTTTTTGGTTTACACATATAGTTAAAAACAATGACACACCTGGGGCAGGGGCAGTTTTGACCCAAGGGCTTTTATTTAATTATTTATTTAATCTTTGCAGACACTTACTAGAAAATGTTTCATGCTTAATATCTAAACTCTAGCTATTCGGGTTTTATCAAAGAAGATTTTTAAGTTTTTGCTATACACATATAAGGAAAATCAATGTCCCCTGGGGCGGGGTCAATTTTGACCCCAGGGCTTTTATTTGAACAAACTTGGTAGACACCCATTAGAAGATGTTTCATGCTAAATATCATAGCTCTAGCTCTTTGGGTTCTTTAAAAGAAATTTTTTTAAGTTTTACTATATGCATATAGGGAAAATCAATGACCCCCTGGGGCGGGGCCAATTTCGACCCCAGGGCTTTTATTTGAACAAACGACGGACGAAAAGCGATCACAAAAGCTCACCCTGTCACTTTGTGACAGGTGAGCTAAAAATGTATAATAAATATTTTTATAGTCCAGACTAGATTTCAGACCTTATTATCTAAATATGTATCATAAAAGACAAAAAAATTGAGTCCTAAAATACATGCAACTAAAAAGAAAAATTGTATGTCTACATGAGATCTTAATGTTAAACAATTTATTTATGGCTTTATTATATTTATATGGGCATGCAAACATTGCATATATTTTTCTTGACAGTTTGCTGCAACTCGTTCTATAAGTCAAATGATTTACAACAGAATCTCGTCAAGCCTTTAATTGATGTTCTGTGAAACATCAACTACAAAGTACAACAAACTGTTTTCGTGAAATGTATATGTCCTGCTTAACAACTTAATACAATTGATATCAAAATAATAAAACTAAGCATTCAGCAGTGTATATAGCCTGGTCAGACAGAAAGCTGGCATTGCTTCTCTGTTGTGATCCCTGTTATACTTCAAAACCTAAATATTTTGAGTCATTTAGGTCAACAACAAAATGGTCCCAAATATAAATTATTCAGGAAAAAAAAAGATAACATTTTATTAATTTCACTTTAAAAAAAACCCCTAAAACACAAAAGTTACAAATTATAACAATATAAAATTTCCTATTTCATAAATATTTTTTTTATATGGTAAATAATGCATCATTTTAATGTTCTATTTAAAAAAAAACAATATTTGTAAGAAATACAAATTTTCACCACCTTTTACGCTTCCAGAACACATTTAAGAATATATAAACATTGAATAGAAACAGAATTGCAAAGTAACCAGGAGCTGTCACACTCACAGAGTGCATGACTACTTCAAGTGCTTGTTTAGCAAAAGCTATGCATATTTTTTATAAAACCCTCACCCTGTTAAATATCTTAATTGGACTCGTCCATCTTTCAATTTAGACTGTAACACAGATGGAACAAAGGTGAACTTGGTCTGCACTAGTTACATAGGTAGATTCCACCTGTAGACTAAGGGTTAGTTCAATGAGATGAGAAATTCTATCATATCCATGTAGGAGTTACACTAGGTCCTTGTCACTGGCTAACACTTATAACACTGGAGTCATGTAAAGGTATCTAGTATTTCAATATCAAAGTGGTTATAGAGAGATAAAGTTACACAGAAAACCTTTTTAATATTAAAAATCACAGTTTACTAGTTTTTATAAAATCAAATTGGGTTCTGCTTTCTACAGGAATCTCATACTTGCTCATTTGTAAAATGGTCTTGCTGAAATAAGAACTGCAAGTATTATTTTAGCAATGGTCAATTTAAGAGATTCAATATTCATAAAATGAAACTGGGGAGTTACAAATATTATGCCTGGGAAGACTTATTACAAGCGCAGACTTACTTGCCTTTATAGTGGTAATGCCGGCAAGTTATTAAAGTTGCTAGTTTTAACTGATTTAAGCTACAGTACCTTTAATGGAAACAAAATCAGATTCCTGTTTGTCAAAGAGAACCGCCTCAAAACAGTGTTTCAGAAATTGGCACACAAATGACTCTAGATTAATTCTACTGACAAAACAAATCAAAATACAATTAGAAAATAGTTCAATGCAAGAAAACTTCGAAAATTTGAAGAAGTCACCAAAGAAATTAGCATCTATTTACTGAATACTGTTTTCTTTGTTCAATAATGTCCTTTACTATACTAAAATATATTTTGTCAACATTTGATGACTATTTGTATAACTGTTCTATATTTAGTGGTGTCCAACCTTTTTATTGTTTCTAAAAACACATGTGCTAAAAATATCCATAACCAGTATGTGATCAAAAGCATGAAAATCAAAATCCATTCAATATTTAATACCATCAAATACATTAATCATCTTGAGGTCTTAATGGCCTCCTAGATTTTCTCCGAGGACTGTTAGATTTATTGTGAGATAGATGTTGTTTGCGAGATGATGAAAATTTGTCTTGTTGTTTTGCTGGACGATCTATAATCCTCTGTGTTTTCTTATTTCTAATGGCCGACCTCTCTGAGGCATCACTGTCACTATCGTCACTATCACTACTACTGCTGCTAGAGTCCGATGATGACGATGAGGAGCTCGAATCACTACTTGAGCTAGAGTTGTCCGAGCTTGAATCCGAGCTTGATGAGGAACTACTAGAGCTCGAGCTTGCTTCAACTGTCATTTTTATCCTTGATGGTGGTATCTGTTCATTGTCCGAGTCATCTTCCGTGTCCGTTGGCGATCTCGATTTTCTTCCTAGACGTGAGCGAGCATCTCTTCCTGAACGTTTTCGGTCATTTATACGTCTGTGAACGGGAGATCTGGATCGTATATTTGACCTTGCCTGACGTCTATTAATAGGTGACCTTGAACGAGATCTGTTAAACCTCCTAATAGGGGAACGTCTAAGAGGAGACCTATTTCTTATTGGTGACCTATACCTATTATTATTTCGCCTCCACATAGGAGACCTAGTTCTTGACCTACGTCTAACTGGACGTCTATTTCTATTCATAGGAGAACGTGATCTGTTTAATTTTGATCTGAACTGGTCATGTGACCTTGACCGTCTAACTCTAGATATTCTAGTATCACTATATCTCACTGGACTTATATCATCTGCCCTTTTACTAAGTCTTGATCTCACATTATTTGAAGACCGCTGCGCAATCCTCACATCAAGATCTTCCTGAGCCTTTTGACTCAACCTTGACCGAACATCTTTGGGTTTTTCTTGTTCATCCATTTTTGATTTAGTTCCTAGTGGAGAAGTGACTCTTTTCTTTCTCTTAACTTCCTGCTCAGGTTCTGGTTCTGGTGTCAATTCCTTCACATCTTCACTCTCTGACAACACTTCGTTCTCTATAGTCATATGCATTGGTGTGATTATTTTGAAATTCATTCCTTCGTCCAGATTTTTCTCAAACTCTGGTGAAAGTGACCTTGACCTTGAATGTTTCCAGGATATTGGTGATCTCTGCTGTCTGTTCATTTTCTTCTCCTGTAAAGCTGCCCTTAGATCAACACCTGTAATTAGCTGTCTGGCATCCTGCACTCTCTTCACCTTCTTTTTGGCATCAGCCACAATTGTCAAAGCCCCAACCATTTTTCTTTGTCTGAAACAAATAAAGTAAATAAAGTCGACATCACATTTTATTTAGTTTATACAAATTTATTTTAGTTTGATTGTGTTTGAAGCTATAAGCTTATTGAAACACTCTCAAATACGTTCCTGGAACCAACAAGTACTAAGCAATGAATGTAAAGTTTCTTACTCAAGGCAACAACGGCTTGTCCCTGACAGGATTTGACCCCAAGCGGTCAGCAATCCTTAGATTACAAGTCCCACATGTTAACCACTTGGCTACGCCGCCACTTCATTTTATTTAAATTGATAAAAAAAATTTAAAAATCTATACAGAATGACAAGAACAAGTAGAAAATTGATCACTACAATTTCGGCATCTAAATTTCTTTAGGATCATTTTACTTTATTTATTTATTTACTTTCATTATTATTTTATAAAAATCTTTTTCACAAGACTAAAGGTCAACAAATACTAGCTGTTCCATGACCCCTTACCAAGTTTGAGTTTAAACATCATTTATTTCAGCCAGTCTGACAAGAAAACCTGTAATTTATTTTGAACCATTCACTGCTTCCTTGAACTAAACCAGTGATCTTGTGATTATATTATATAAAGCTATACATCTGCTGCTCATTGGTTTTTTGTTTTGTTTTTTTTTATAAATAATACTTCCAAAATACTACATAAGTATATTTCTTAAAGAACAAATGGCAAATGCACAAAATTATTGCTTAATGGTTAAAGCTTACTTAAATAGCTGCATAATATTTTGTTCCAGAACATTTTATTTGGTTTACATACAATAATTATGTGTGTTTTCTAACAGAGTCATCCTAAGTAACAACTCTAGAATCGACCATAAAATCATGGAAACGATATAATTTTACTGTTATAAATTTAAAATATTTCATTAAATTTGATGAAAAATATATAAAATACTTAACATTCAGTCATAAAACTGTTTCAAATAATTAAATGTGAGAATTTCGCAATTACTTTTTGTAAACTAGGTAATTCAGGGCTGCGTTTCATTGAAAGTCCAAAATGTGTATCCATAGTCCAAGGACTTATGAATAACTTTAACACTAACTTAAGACTGTTTCAATAAATACTTTTAGATTTAGCAAATACTTGGAATTTTGTTAATTTGTCCCCCTGTAGAAAAGTTAAAACATGAAATGGCACATGCTTTAACCCACAATATTTTTATGCTTATCTACATGACTGTTAAGAAATTGAACAAGTATTAACCAAGGAGTCATGAGTTAGGATATTTTCTTTGAAACACTAAACTGTCTCAGTTTTGGTCTTAACAATGATTTTAGTCTTAGGGCCTTGTATGAAACACAACCAAGGAACCAGTGTACAGTATTAAATAACTACCCAATGATATATTGTATCCCCATTAACCTAGAAAAGTGACAGTCTGTACCCTGTCATATGTGACGATTTTCTGAAGAATCCTTGGAAAGTCACATATGATAGTCTCCACTGTAGTGTACTTAACCTTATCTTTGTCTCCACTAAATTCTGTATTCAAGTTATTTAGTAAAGAATGCAAGTAAATGGTAATATTCTGTCCGAACAATCACTGTTCCACTTCAAAAGAAAAGAATAGATGCATGATTGAAAAACTATCAAGCTGAAATATTGTTGAACGCAATAAAGGCATATAAAAGTATTCAAGAACAGATCAGTACCTGTGAACTTTTTGTTTTTCCTCCAGTTCATCAGCATACATTCTCATAACTGGTTTTTTCTCCTTGGCCCCAAGTAGTCTCTCCAATTCTTCTTCATCGACGTCACTATCTGTACCTCTAACATCATCCCTGTCATTACTCATGACTCTCTCTATAACAGGGAAATCATTCTCCTCCTCTGATCTGTTCATTTCTTCTTCCTCATCTTCTATAGTAACAATAGATGATAATATCATATATATATTTGTATATAATTATTTATATGTTTTCAAATCACATTTGAGTATGTTTGTTTGGTAGAGTGGATGGTTGGGAGAGGTTGATACATCTCCCGAAACAGTCTTTCAAAAATTACACTTTGAGTTCATTTTACAGTGAGAATAATGACCAATTTTAGAGTGCTGCTACATTGAAATGTTAAGAAGTAAACATCCCCTAACAAGTTACATTACACTGAAGCCAAACTGTCCATTCCTATACCTATCCTCATTTTTCATACTGCTAAGCAAGGATGCAACCAGTCTCATTTTAATCAACATCTTTTATATGACACTATTAATCAGATTGCCGAGTATTTAGATGTTCTTTTCTTTTGTATCACTGGAAATATTAAAACACTTTCCCTGTGGTCAAAATATGAAGCCCAAGAAAAATGTAACCAATGTACAAGCATCTGAAAATAACATTTCTATCATTATCCCTTTCCCTGTCGTCACAATAAGTAAACCCAAAGAAAAATGAAACCAATGCTCTATTTCTATTCCCTACAGACAGTGCGGTAATTGGAGTGCAAGTTACCAATACCTGCACTCCAGTTAATACACTGTGCATGTGTGGGTATACAATTTAACTCTGACACATTTTAATAGGAAGGTCTCCAAACCATAATTCAATATTAAGTGAACTTCTCAATGTCTGTATATCAATATCCAACCATCTACTGAAATAATCTCATAATTTTGCAAACAGTATTTTATCAGTAAAACTTACCTGACTCGACTTTATCTAACAATTTCTTTGAATTTTTGCCAAGTTTCTGTGAGGTAGAATATATATCGATCTCTTCAACTTCTACTGGCGTGACTGTATCACTGAACAAATCATCTTCATAGGACACCTGTAAAATATAAGTTCATTAAAGGCACATTAAGCCTAAAAATGTTTTTTTTATTTCATAATAGATTTTTGTGTCTCTTGCTACAGTTTACTAATTGACCACACTGCCCAGTCACCTTTTGCTTCGTTTGTGTTTTGGCAATTAGTAAAGTTAAAGTGATTTAAAATTTTTAAAAGTGAAAATATGATTTTGTTTACATTTTGCTACATTTCTGACAAAGTAATTCACATTCAGCTCTATTTTTCAGGTGATAAGGCTTAAGCATTTCACATGTTCTTAATCAATATTACAATATTATAAAACACATAATTTCCTTTTCCTACAAAATGAAAAATTCATTTATTTCTGATTATAACTTTTTTTTCTTTTGTTTACCTTGATACAAATTGTCATTTTTAATCACATATCACCTCTATAGCTTTAAATTTTTCAAAAAGCTTAAACATTATATTCTGTGCATAATTTCCAGCACTTATATCTGCTTTTTAATCAGCTGCCTTATTAGATATCAGTTGTAATCATGAGTGGGCCAGTAATAATTTCATGCAAGGAGGCTAACCTTCAAGCTGATCATTCTACTCAGAAAATAATGCACAAAGATGAAATTTACAGTGACATAAACTGAATTAAAGACAAACAAAATATTGTATATATGTAGGAACAAGCAATTTGAAAATCAGCTGACGAAAGCTGCATACATCAAAGAACTCAAATAACCAAACAATGATTATAGGTTGATTCTTTGTTATGTTTGTTTTGTTAAATTTTCAGTCACATTAAGCCTGTAAAGGTCATATGGAGACTTTCTAGCTTTACTGGCGGAAGATGACCTCAGGTGCCCCTCTTGTACACCATTTCAGCACAACCCTGCACCAGAGTAGAACCACAGGCATCCTGTAAGCTATGTATAGCTTCCGTACATGAAAGGATCCAAGGTTTCTGAGAGGATTCTAACCCACAGAAGTAAGGGGTAAGGGATTTGAAGTTGGCAACAAAAACTACCTTTACCAGTTGATTCATCAATCGCTCAAGTACAGAAAATGAACAGAAATTCTTTTAACAGGTGACCAATAAAAGTAATTGCAAACATACCAGGTAGCATCTACATATCAACAAGTTCATGAAAATAAATATTCAATATTGTTAAGAAGCAACTCTTCTCTGCAAACTATCATACAATACATGTACGTGATTTAACATTACCTGGTTTCTATCTGAAACAACTATCCCACTGTCTGGTACACCAAATGAATCAAAATCATCATTACCTCGTCTACCACGTAACTTCTGTTTCCTGTAAATTATGATAACCTCAATATCATTATCACACTTTTGACCATGAAATTTAAACATTCCAAATAATTTTTTTGTGCTAAGGATATGTCCTAAAGTAAATACTCCATTCTCAATCTTCAGGAGGTCAAACTGCATACTCCAAAATGAGCAGTAAACGGTATTCTTGCAAGATTAGCCATGTGTCTACCACCTTTAAAGCCAATAACCCAGCTTTAGCAACTGTCCAGTTTAACTGGAGGAGAAAAAACACTAACACCATTTACTGCATTATTTTAGGTACTAGCAGGCACCTGTAGTAGAACCATCACTCTCTTGTCTGCTAGCTGAGAACTTTTTTCACTGTTATCCTATCAAATGTGGTACATGAATTGTTAGAAATCAGTGACTTCTATCCTTTATTGAAACAGCTGTCAAATATGCTCAAATTTTCATTCCTTAAAAAACAATTTCTAAAATTCTAATAGAAACAAAAATATGCAGGACAAACAGAATTACTTATTCAATTTAATGTTTCATTGAAAACATGTTTTATTTCCTAATGTGAAATTTTTGCATGCTTACATTGATCTGCTCAGAAGTCCAACTCTTCCTGAAAAATGAAGGAAAAAAGAAATATTCATTTGTTTTGAAATATATCAATTAAAATAAGTTTTAAAGAATATAAAAGAATGTAAAATATGAAGGATCATCAGAAAAAGGACCTTTTTCTAGATCATTTAAATGATCCATCAATGTCAAAGAGACAAACCATTTAGATAGATGACCATTAAAATATGCTATATTATACTCAAGTTGGTAATAATACATACAATGGCTCCTAGTCATTTATAGATTATTCTATTTATCAGTTTTGGAGATCATATTAAGAATAAGATTTTAATATTCTTTATATACACAAACCTGAATTGAGCCGTGTCACGACAAAACCAACATAATGGGTTTGCGACCAGCATGGATCCAGACCAGCCTGCGCATCCACGCAGTCTGGTCTGGATCCATGCTGGTCGCAAACGCACTATGTTGGTTTTGTCATAACGTGGCTCAATTTATTCCATACAAGGATGCTACAAATGTTATCAGCTGTTTTATAAAATAAAATATACAGCAATCACCATGGCATAACTAAACCTCCAATTGAGCGAACAAATATTTTACTTCTTGTTTATCTTTGCTTAACAATATATAAGGTATTTATGGAATAAGTCTGTGGGCCAAAAAATTAGAAAACAATAACAAAATTTGACAATAGAGGCCTTAAATCTGTAAAAATTTGTAATAATATTGTTAACACAGTTCTGCTTAACATAGCATCATTATTTACAGCATTTGATACAGAGTCATTAGAAATAGATTTTTCTCAAACGGGAACAAAATAAATTCACAACAAACCTCCATAGTTAGGATTGCCATATTTCTGGTAATATTTGCTTCTTTTTTCAGCACCAGGCAGCTTAATATCAGCTATAAGATATAACAAGTATTTGGTAAAAATGTGAAAACATATCTTCTATCATTACAAAACCTGCTTTAAAACATCATGCCTCCAGATTCATGCTAATTTTCATGATAAAAATTAGGAAAATGTATATAAAAGTTGTATATAAAAGTAAACTATTATGAAGTGAACAAAAAAAGTATTTTACAAATTGCAAATGGCACTTACAATCCACTGTATTAATCACACAGTAGAAATATAGTGATAAATACTGACAAATCAGTCATTTATGGCACATAACATCTAAATTATTACTTGTTTTATTAATCTTTGCTACTTTCTTATAACATTTTCTCAAGTTTGATTTTCTTGAAATAATTTGGCTAATCTGGAGGCATGAAGCTTTAAACTTGTTATTGAGTTGGTCATAAGTAATGACTATCATGATCAATACTTTCTTACTTTGGAGATACCAGCAGAGACTAGGATAAGTTTATACATTCTTTATACCGCTAGAATAATCTGCACATCCTAGCTAAGCAGTCTGTTCTGGTTGTATACACTATACTGTTAATTATAGATTTTATTCTTAAAGTTCTACTGTTACAGCTCATGTGATACACCTATGCAACAGATTGGAACAATTTAAATATCTTTTGTAAAGGGTCATTTCAGAATCATTCCTCTGAAATAAGTCAAAGCCCATCAAGTGCTTTTGGATGTTGTTAAAAGAAATTGAGGACAGACATACTGACATCTCAAACTTTCAACTATGAGCACTCTGTGCTCAAGTGAGCTAAAAACAGGGAAAAATTCAAAACAAACCTTTTGTAGCAAATCTGAGGAACAGATATTTATTTTTGTCTTTGTATGGTTCACCTAGTCTCCATTTTCCTGGTGGCCAAGGTATTTTGTTGAACGCACTTTGGCTGTGAGTGGTAACTTCAGGCTCAGAGTCACTCTCAGTGATCTCCCCTTCTTCAATTCCTTCATCCTCCATTTTTTCTTCCTAAAGACAAAGAAAGGATACTAAGTCACACTTTTTAAATATATTTAATTGATTTACTTTAGATCAAGAAACATTACATGAACATTCATATATTTCTATGTCTTTGAATTATCAAATAAATTCTACGGAGATATTCTCTATTCAAGAAAGTGAGTATAATAGTTATCCCTATTCTTGGAATAATGGAGATCAAAATGGCTGCCTATATAATAATAGTGCCTATATGGTAACTGACATCTTTCTCTCAGGCACCTGTTTAAGTATGTCAAATAAACATAAATAACAAACATGACTGACCTGGAGAGGCTCTGTCTATATCTGTAAAGTCTATATTATATATAAGTACATATTATCATTGCCTCTCTATGTCATGTCACCAACAGTGAACACTTGGGAACCACAATGGAAATAAGGGTTTAATCTTTTTTTGTGTTAACCCTGGTGTTGCTGTGCATGCCAAGGTTATTGTGGTCATGTTTGTGTTATGTTATGTCTCACTGCATGTGTTATATTACCATGTATGTACATTATGCCAAATATCTAACAAGACCTGCATTTTTCCCTATTGAACATAGAAGAATCGAAAGTGTGTGTTATTATGCAACAAAACCACTGCGCAATTTACCTTAATAATCAGGTACAGCAGCATTTATTTGTTGATGTCATGTTAGAATTGAAATAATATATCCAAATTGGTGATTTTATCGCTGGATAACATCACTGTCGTTCGGATGCGCATCATTATATCACTCAGGCTACGCCTATCGTGATATAATTCCTCGCATCAGAACTCCAAACAGTGATGTTATTGAGCAATATATATATATATATATATATATCACAGTTTGGGATATATTATTTCTTAAATAAATCTTATCTTACGACTTGATTAATTACTTTTGTCCCTTATATTTTCATTATCTCAAACACAGATTCATATATATACAGATCAAAACTCACATCATCAGGTTTCTTTTCCTCAGTTTCATTATTAACTGTTTGTTTGTCCTCTGTTAGATCTAGTTCATCATTATCTTCATCCATTTTCTCTTCATTTCTTTCTTCCTCATTTTCTTTCTCCACAGCTCCATTTTGTTCAATACCATCTTCTTCCATTTTAGACTCTACAATTAAATAACATGAAAAGAGCTGTAATAGAAAAATGAAATCAAATATCTGTAAAGACAGAAGAAGCAGTAACAGCCTGCCCAATCCTTCATCAAACAAGACAAGTCATAAAAAGAGGATAAAATAATGAAGGGTAACATTTTATTACATGTTTTGCAGTAGATTACTGAATTATAACGGGTAATTATATTCCGATAATTTCACAGTAATGATTACCAAATATAATTTCACAGTAGCCGAACTATACTTTTTGAGGTATGCTTCTAACAAAAATTATGTATGAAAGATAACCCAAGACCCAAAATCTAAATTTTATGAAGGGTAGAGTTATCATTCTTGTACATTGCACTCCCAAATGAGATTTATCTATGAATGAAGTTTCAAGATCATATCTTATAAATACTTTTGCATTAAGCTCCAGAAAATAATGAGGGGATGATGATTGTATGGATGGACAGAAGAAGGGATGGACTGAGACTTTAATATAATTCCTCATCTAAAACCAAGACTGACATGATATCCTGCATTGATCACTAGGAGAAATTTTTCATTGATTTACACAATGAAGTTTTTCAAATGCTCTTTCTTTTAAAGCACTGATGATCTGTGCATCTAATAGAGAATTTATTTGTACATTCTTGTCCATCCTGAAGTTTTGTAGGGATCCACCCATCGATTTGTGTAAACTTATGAGGACTGTCTAAGCATGCAAAAGACTTTTTTGATAGTGATCTATTCATACAATTATTTAAAGAAGTACTTTGAAATATCTTCTTATTAGTCATAAATGGGGGCCAAATATTTGGCTAAATTTGATTAATGACTACCTTGGGATATTACAAAGTAAGTTTGATGAGGATTCATCCATTCATAAAATGTTTAAAGGATTTTCTATTTTAGCTGTGATGACATTTTTCAATGAGTGAAAGAGTTAAATATCAACATCTTGGAGTAAAAAAATCACACAGTAAATCTGGTCGTAAGTAAACCTAAGCTCACCCTGAATTTTTGGTCCTTACAGACATAACCATCAAAAGTTACTCAGTAAAAGATATTCAGTATGTTTTATTCTAAATATGAGGATTGACTGAGATGATTGTAATAATATAACAATTAAAATACCTGCAGTAGCTTCATTCTTCTCTTTCTTCTTATCTGATTTTTGTTTAGCTGTATTCTTTATACCATATTCTGCCATAACTTGTTCATAGCTGCGACTGAGTTTTAACATTGCACGTGCTGCCGTCATCTTGTCAAGCCAAACTATGTTACCTGAATTCCATAATATTTAATTGGGTGAAAACAATTAAACTTGTTCATTACTTTTATAATCCTGCTTGTTGCAGACTGTCCTATTCTTTTTAAGAACTGAGTGTTACTGATACATTTGATCAACATTTATAGAAAATTCAGTTGGTTATATTGATTCAATTTTTTTTTATAAAATATAAAATTTAAAACCCATTATGACAAATTGTCACATTATTTTTACTTTTAATTGTTTACTGACCATTTCACTTGGACATGGCATAATGTCACTCTAAGTATAATATATATATTATATATCAATATCAATCTTGTTTCAGTCACATAGTATAGTTTGCCAAATAATATGACTCCTATAAGATTTGTGTTTCATTTTAATACATTTTTTCTCCTACAACACTTAATCAACCTGTCGAAATTATACATTCATGCAATTTAGTCCCATTTATAACTAAATTATTACAAATACACCTACACAAACAATAAATGAAGAAACATGGCATATAAGCAGTGTGAAATAGCAAAGATCAGTAATTCGATAAAGTTATAATAAATTAGATGTCAGGACAGATAATTGCTTAGGAATTTTTAATTTGGTTACAATGAGTAGCCTGTATCAGATCACAAAACACTGAAAATTTATGGCAAAATATATTGATAAAAATTTGATTTACCACTTTTAAATAACCAGTACAATGAAATTCTATGAAATGGCAGATTTCTAAGAAAAAAATATCGTGTCGCAGTAACATTTTATTATCAGATGAATTATGCCTTCAGAATATTTAAACTTACAACTTTCATCATCAATCCATTCACAGCTGCCTGCAGCAAACTCCTTGAAATAGTTGAACACATCTTTTGTGTTCATCTCATTCACGCCTCGTAAATGTATGGCATCCAGACGTATACCTCTTTCATCTTTCTGACTTAAATCTTCCGCTTTTAAACCCAGGCTGAAATTTTCAAAAATTAGATTTTACTTATATTCTACTGCAGTTATTTTGTTCACCATCATGACAGCACAAAAATATTTGTCTTATGTTTATATTAATTTTCATGCATTCAAGTACAATTTTCTGTAATTTTAAGTGAGAGGGAAAGAGTTGTGGTTCTTGCATTCAACAAATCATCATGACTTTAAATCATCATGACTTTGTTTTCATTTTTAAAGTCTATGTGTAGATCATATGACCTACATGTACATATCCACCATACTGAAACCATTTACAAAACTTTTTAGGACAGTGTAAGGCTCATCCTTAGAAATCTTGCGGATAATGGCCAACAATGAATACATTGCGATCAGTGATCACAAGAACTAATCTCCAAACACAAAATGCTTAGGGCCATAACAGTAGGGCCATAATTTGGTAAACAAGGGTGCCATAGTCACAAAATACGCCCGTTTACGAAAAAGCTTTAGATGGAGATGGGGGCATTATGGATAAGTGTTATCTAGCAAGCAAGTTTTTATTCTTGGCACTGTGTTGTTAAATGAACCTTAAAACAAATCAATAGGGAAGATATGCACAGAATGTGTGACCTTGACCTTGGTCGCAGGGACCTGAATTTTATGCACGGCACTCAGCCTCACAATGATGAACATTTGTGCCAAATTATATTGAAATCCCTCTATGCATGTAGAAGTTTTGCTCCAGACAAGTGTTTTTCTATGAGCTCTAACTGTGACCTTCACCTTTGACCTAGAGACTTGGTTTATGTGCAGGGCACTACGTCTCATGGTGGTGAACAATTCTATAAAAGTAACATTAAAATTCCTCCATGCATGTAGAAAATATGCTCCGGACAACATCTGGATATCTAATCATCTCCAGTGACCTTGACCTTGCAAATATTAACCTAAATTAAATGTGTAACACCTGTAGTCATGATAGTTACCATTTGTGCTACAATCCATCAATAAATGATGACTAAATGGTCCCTATAACCATCTTCAAATTTTATCTGAACTTTGACCTCTATGTGTAACCTTGACTTTGGTCGCAGGGATCTGAATTTTGCATGCGACACTCAGCCTCACAATGGTGAACATTTGTGCCAAGTTATATTGAAAACCCCCTATGAATGTAGAAGTTTTGCTCCGGACAAGCGTTTTTCAATGAGCTCTAAGTGTGACCTTGACCTTTGACCTGGAGACCTGGATCATGCATGGAGCAATACATATCATGGTGGTGAACATTTCCATAAAGTATTATAAAAATTCTTCCATACATGTAGGAGATATGCTCCAGACAAAATCTGGATATTTCACCATCTTTAGTGACCTTGACCTTGCATATATTGACCTAAAGTACATGTGTCACAGCCGTAGTCATTATAAGGACCATTTGTGTTACAATCCCTCAATAAATGATGATTAAATCGTCCCTATACACATCTTCATATTTTTATCTTTTTTTAAACGGGCGTATAAAAAGTACATGTAATTTAATAACTAAAAAATTCTGATTTAAGATTTTATTCTAGGGAAATACATTTCATTACAATTCTTAATCTTTGAATGAGCTGAACTGATATTTACTTGAAAATTAAAATATAATTAAATTTCTATGAGAAAGTATTTACATTTGATAAGGTAATTACTGTATGATCTTTATGAACAAATACCAAGTCTACAGAACACCATAGTTATCACAGTTAAGAATCTTGACCAATGAATGAAACATGTGTAAATAAATGTTACATTCTTTACAACATACTCAAGTCCAAGAAAGAGGATTATTTCATGCCCTTTGATTAAATTCTATTTTTAGAATTGAAAGTGAAAATAGATCAAGGGGAGTAATTGTGTAAGTCATTTATGAACAAAGTAATAACTTTGTTGTCTCCATTTGATTAAATTCTACTTACAAAATCTGGATATTTCATCATCTTTAGTGACCTTGACCTTGTATATATTGACCTAAATTATATGTATCACAGCCATAGTCTTGATAATGACCATTTGTGTTACAATCCCTCAATTAATGATGACTAAATGGTCCATATACACATCTTCATATTTTTATCTGAACTTTGACCTCTATGTGTGACCTTGACCTTGGCCGCAAGGACCTGAATCTTGCACGCGACACTCCGCCTCACAATGGTGAACATTTGTGCCAAGTAATATTGAAATCCCTCTATACATGTGGAAGTTTTGCTCCGGACAAGCATTTTTCAATGAGCTCTAAGTGTGACCTTGACCTTTGACCTAGAGACCTGGTTCATGTGCGCGACACTGCTTCTCATAGTGGTGAACATTTATATGAAGTTTCATTAAAATCCCTCCATACATGTAGGAGATATGCTCCGGACAAAATTGGACGCCGCCCGCCGCCCGCCGCCCGACCCGCCGCCCGCCCGCCAGGGCGTTCCCATAATACGTCTCGTTTTTCAAACGGGCGTATAAAAATGATTACAAAAGTAATAAACTTTAATAATAGTTACAAGGGAACTTAATGACAATAATTCTGTTAAACTTTTATTGAAACCCCTAGAGAAATGTAGTTGTTGTATAAGAAGAAATTGTTTCTTTGCCCAACTCCTGGCCCTCAAATAAACACCAATGTTATGACATTTTTTGTCAGAAAACAAAGTTTTAAACAGGAATACCTTTCATACAGCTCCTTCAAATTTAAAGCAGGTTCCGGTTTATAATCAATGCCAAATCTTTTTGCTCTCTCCTGCAGTTTTTCTGCTGATATCTTTAAAATGAATAAATACAAATTAATTATATCCGTTATACAGGTGTATATGTTATCTAGAACAATGTTTACAAACCTCTAAGTTATTTTTTTTAAAGGTATCATTAGATATATGACTAATTACTGCATATTATGTGTGTTCATTTTTGTTTTGCTGACCCTAGAGCTTACATTTTGTCATATTCTAAAGGAAAAAAATCTAAATTGAAGAGTAATGCCAAAAGAGGGTTTTATAGTAATATGTTTGAATTGTTCCATTTACAGAAGGTGATTTTTATTAACTGACAAGATGATTTTTTAACTGAGGGAATTTTTTTCCAGAAATAAAGGGAAATATATTCTTTTTGGAAAGGGGAATGGTGCCTTATTTCAGCCTGGAATCGGTCCTAATAAAAACACTAGCCTATTATATAATCTGTTATACCTGCTCTGTAAAATCAATGCCTGTTATGAAGTTTCCTTCTTTATTTTCATATCTTCTTGTTTGCTGGAAAATAAAACGGAGAAATTCAAAGACAATGACAAATTACTAGAAAAAATTTTAAGCCTTTTTTGTCTAATTTTTTTTCAATAGAACTATTCATAGTATGTAAAAAATCTTCAGAGTTTCAGAGTTTTATGCTTATAGGTCTCACTGTTATAAAAAACTGAATGAATGGTATATTTAATATGTTCATTCAAGTTGTATAAGTGGTATTCTACTTCTGTCCATTTTCCACTTGTCGTATCAGATGAGTCGGCCTAATTTCCTTCATGTTCTGCTGCAGATAGTTACTTTCTCAGTTCAAGAGAAATTTTCCATCTCTGGATGTGAAATACCAAAAATTCATTAAAACTTCAGGTTTTTCTAAATGATACTGTAAAATCATTATTATTCGTGGGGCACGAATTTTCGTGGTTTTCGTGGGTAGGTCAATCCACGAATTTAAGATCCCATCGAACTTTTATCCCAACAAATACTTTTTACCCAGTCTTTGTTCTATATATTACAAACATGCGTCGGCTCTTTCCGGTCGATTTTTCGTGAAATGGATGTATATACAGACAGATAATCAGGTTAGTGGCATATTAAATCTGTTTACAATATAATTTATAACATAACTGAGTAAATATGGGAACCCAGGCAGTGCAATAATTAGCGCTAATAAAAATTGTCAGTTTGCTCTTATTTATTAAAAAAAACGTCTTTGATATTAATGTCGTTAGTACACAAAACTATAAAAAAAAAATACGATCGCTAAAACAGATTTATTGTACATTCTTTTGTCGTTTTAAATGATCCAGTTTATATGAATTTTAATCTGTATTTGCGCGAATGCTATTCCGTCAACATCAAAGACGCCACCGACTTTTACGAGATCCACACATACTCGTGTTATTTACCGAGCATGTAAATTTACACAGTCGCTGTGATGTTGCGTGTAGTTACTTTCAAATATGTTAAGACCAATTTAGGGTGTAAGCTTTTAAACTCGCTGGTTAAAACTTGTCAGGTGTCGTATAAATTATGCGATGTTACAGGGGCAGTGTGCCCAATGGAGGTGCATATCATGTCTCATAAATGTTTTAATTGCAGTCAATTATCGGCAGTAACTGTGCTATATAATTTATGCCCAGAGGCAAGGATTAAATTTATTGACAAGCGCTGTGTGACAAGTACAGATACGTACATGTTGTAAGTAAAAATGTTCGGTGATTAAGTTTAAGATTATTTTGCATTAGGTTACTGAATTTTTTTTAACAAGAAAACGAAAATCCACAAATTTAAAAACCCACGAAAATGCCCTTTTTGATAAAACCACGAAATTTCATGCCCACGAATTTAAGTGAATTCACAGTATGAAGTAAAATGCATCTATGTAGTATTCAGGGCTCTCGTTAGCATTTTGAGACTGGGGACAGGGTCCATGCAGGGGGGGGAATTTTGCATGATTTTCAAATATTTTTCATCCAAAGGGGAATTTCCACAGAGGAAGATTAATTCAGCAAAAAGAAAACAGAAAAAAGTGAATGTAAGATTCAGTTAACAAATAAACATCATTAAGCTGCTTTCATGAAATGTTTCTGTTATTTTTTGCGGTACGACGACATGTTGGAATGCTAAAACCCGTTCGGAACGTTTTATTTATATATACATACTAATTTCCGATTGCCGTTCGCGGAATAGTTACTAATTTCCAGTTGCCGTACGCGGAATATGCATTCGCCGATCGGCGTTTTCTATGCCCGTTAAAAATTAATTACAAGGAATTTCAAGGGGGATTTTTTTCGGTTTTAGGGGGAAAAAAACACACTTTTTTGGTGGGGGAATGGGGCCGATATTCGGCCCCAAATTTTACCAAACGAGAGCCCTGGTATTTCTGTTTCCTTTTACTTCGATTTTCATTTTTTATTATCGGTCATTAATTCATTAATAATAAACCATAAATTATCATCTCAAGATTGCAGCGAAAATAAAATTGACTTTTGATAGAACATACCCTTGACTGATGTTTATTGGCAGTTGTTTGCACATTTGTGAGAAATAATGTGCAATCAAAATATTAAACAAATTATACACCTTCAGCAGTACACTAACAATTGACCTTATTCAATCTCAATTCAATTCAATTTCACCCAGTAACACTCACTCATACTTGTCAGTGGTAACTTTAAGTAATAAGCGTTGTGTTATGACGGCTGCTATACTGGAACTGTATATTGATTTGGGACAACTACAATAATGTCAAAGTAGGTCAAATCAATTGACATGATTAGAATTTCAGTCATTTTAAACTGAGAAAATATCAACTTTTCTGATTTATCATCATGTGGGATTTTTTATAACTATGTCTATATATCTATACAACTACATAATTTTTTTTTTGTAAACATTTAAGAAGTCATAAAAAAACAAAATAGTGGATAAATCAGATTTTAATCTCCTCTTATAATGACCCTCATTTCTGGCTAAACATTTAATGAAAAAATTAAAGAATGCCACAAAACAATAATTTTTCTTCAATATTATATGCAAGGCCATTATTTTTGGATAATTCCAAGATTTTTCATCATTATCTGTTAACCAATTACCTCATATAGATGTGTTTTCACCTTCCCACCCTCCTCCCTTTAGACCTAAAATAGTGAAAAAATGCCCTATTTAAGCCCCAAACACTTGTTTTAGTTTGCAGTGATTTTTCTCACTTAATTGGGAAGAGGCCTAAGCCTCTTGATTTTAGGAAAAAATATCGCTAAAACTGCTGATTTGGGAAGTAAAAAAGCTGGTTTAAGTTCAGATTTTTGGGAAAACTGCATGATTTTAAAGAAAATTTCAATTGGGAAGAGGCCTTTTTTCGGAGTCTGTTATATAAGTAGGAAAATCACTGGTTTGAGAAATGTTGTTAAAAAAAGTGATCACTTTTTCGGCGTCACCCCAACAGAAGGTGCCAGAAGGGGAATGTGCCCTCTTATGCCTGTGATTTTGAAGGTGGTAGCCCCTCAACGGCAAAAGTTTTTGACTTGTCAAAGTAAATAAAATATTTGTGTACAAGATAAATCATCGTCTTTGAATGCCTCAACAAGAAACTGCCGCTGCATATTGTGATGCATGGATTTTTTTTCAATATTAGCTCATATTCCCAATGGAAAATAGTATCCTACTGTGACCCAAATTTGGCGTTCTCCTAAATTCGGCGATGTTTTGTTTTTCGTCATTTACTCATGACTTTAGAGATGAAGGTAAATCATGTTTATGTTCCACTGTCTATTTTTACAACTCAAGTGATTTTCTGCGCTAAAGATTGAGATACGGCAAAGGGGTACGGCTCATTGAATGTTCACAAAATATGTATTTGATGGTAGAAAACATTTATCCTAAGTCAGAAATGAATTCTAAGTCCATTCCCATTACACTATATACTAATATATAGACAAGGGTAACAACTCCCATAAGAAGGTGTCTATGCCCAAGCAGGGTTTTTGCCTCGCAGTTTTTTACACGATACAGCATAAATAAAAAGGAATTATGCAATTTGTAGTCGAATGATTTATCTATCGAACCAATGTAAAACTTTTCTTATATCTCTTATACTTGACGACTACTGGCCGTCAAAGTAACAAAAAACTGTTCATTTTCGCGAGGTCGACATCGATCGTGGCTACGCAGGAAACAAAAAGTTACACGACTGTTGCAATCGTTGGAGATAATATCACAAGCATTTATCATGCTGGGCAATTAAAAATACATAAAAGTAATCAAAATATACCAATAACCTATAATGACAATGTGATATAAACTCACCTGCGGCTTCAAAATATTTCCCCGTTGAAAATTCTATAAAACACTGCCATCTTGACGAATGTAAACAACCGTCATCTGATTGGTCGATTTATTTCCGGAAAATATACCCGTAAATTTCCGAAAAAACCCGACCAATCAGATGACGGTTGTTTACATTCGTCAAGATGGCGGTGTTATATAGAAATTTCAACGGGGAAATATTTTAAGCCGCAGGTGAGTTTATATCACATTGTCATAATAGGTTATTGGTATATTTTGATTACTTTTATGTATTTTTAATTGCCCAGCATGATAAATGCTTGTGATATTATCTCCAACGATTGCAACAGTCGTGTAACTTTTTGTTTCCTGCGTAGCCACGATCGATGTCGACCTCGCGAAAATGAACAGTTTTTTGTTACTTTGACGGCCAGTAGTCGTCAAGTATAAGAGATATAAGAAAAGTTTTACATTGGTTCGATAGATAAATCATTCGACTACAAATTGCATAATTCCTTTTTATTTATGCTGTATCGTGTAAAAAACTGCGAGGCAAAAACCCTGCTTGGGCATAGACACCTTCTTATGGGAGTTGTTACCCTTGTCTATATATTAGTATATAGTGTAATGGGAATGGACTTAGAATTCATTTCTGACTTAGGATAAATGTTTTCTACCATCAAATACATATTTTGTGAACATTCAATGAGCCGTACCCCTTTGAGATACGGCTGGTAAACATTAAAAATTGTATGTGACATGGAGAAAATTGTGTGTTTTACCTGATGCAATTTCAAATTTATCTATACTTTCCTCTTTTTGATTGATATAGTTGCTTAAAATAATTAGACAGTCGCCGTCTGTTACCTTATTATTTTTACTGCCGATCTAGGTCAACATACTACGTCACAATCCCGCCAAAATTAAAAATTTACTGCGACCAATCAGAATCGCCAAATTTACGTGACGTTTTCAGATCGTAGTAAGATTTTACATCAGCCATATTTGTTTATATTTGGCAACCGCTGAATGATTACAATGTTAGAAATCAACTTTAAGTAACTTTAAAATAGTTGCAGTAAAATTATATCAAGAATAATTATAGATTACTGTAGTTAATTGAAAATGCCATTGACATTTGTTCTTATATCGCCCAATTTAGGTTACACCGGGATACCTCATTTTTACCAGTTAAGCTGATAATTTCATGTTCTGACAAGTGAAAGTCGTCTACTGAAACAGTAAAGACGTCATATTCTCGATAATTCTGCTGAAAAAAATCTAATGAAGCCAAAAAGGGCCATCAATTTACATACCACAGTATCAAAGTGCTCTCCGTTTTAAGCTCCCGTTCAAAACATGGCTGACTGATCATAGATGTTTCTAATTTAAATCATTGAGTTATTCTATGAATGACATGTGTATTTTGAAGTCAAGATGTGACAGTTAAACACAATTTATTAAAATAGTAGATACAAGATCTTTTTATTTGTATATTTTGCTGAAAATAATAAGAACAATGGTACCAAAGCGGACCATGCTAAATTTATTTTCCCAATTCACAGGAAAAAATTTCCAATTGAAAGTTACAAAATGAAAATATTGAATAAAAATTCTAAAATCTAGACACATCGGCAGTACTTAACTGCTTAAAATCAGTCAAAACTTATTCTCTTGAAACCATCTGTCTACGGTCAGACACACAAAGCCATATGTTTAGATGTTTCTTTGTGCATAAATAAAATCTGGGCCTGGGGTTAAAAATTCTTGGGGTCAAAATCTCCCATTCAGCTTCACATTCACAAGTATGCAAGTTTAAATGTGTTGTAGATAAGTATTCTATCTAATAATAATTTAGAAATTACCCTGTTGGACGTATTTTCCAATGGTTTTGAGTCCAACTTGTTCAAATAAACATTGAACTGAACGTCATCGTCATCGTCAAGAACACGTTCTGAACCGGGCGAGCCTGAAACTACAAGTTCGTCGTGTACAGGATTTGCTATTCGTGTATCTTCTTCTCCCTCTTCAATACTAATCTGGGGCTCCTCTGTCAACGACAAACGATCGTCATCTGATTCAGATTCATCATTATCAATGCAAATTTTTAGATTTGGAAGTTTCGTTTTCTCACTGGACGCCATCTTGTGAAGATAAACGGATAAACTGCCCAAATTGATATCAACCACCAAAATCCACCCACAATCACCTGTTTGGTCGGCTTGTCTCCTGGTTGAGTCGACTCTTTGGACAACACGTCCCCTACCTCGTCCCTATTTATTTATATTAGACGGTTCATATGTTATTTGAAAATAACATCTATATCTTATTCTAACACGACACGCATTTTTCCCTATTGAACATAGAAGAACCGAAAGTGTGTGTTATTATGCTATAAAATCACTGTTTGACGTTCTATATTTAGACATGTGACGTAATCATTATACACGTGACGTAACCACTAAAAATGTGACGCGCTGACAATAAGTACGGAAACAAATCAGGCGCAATTTAGCTAAATATCAGGTATGGCAGCATTTATTTGTTGATGTCGTGTTAGAATCGAAATAATATATCCAAATCGCTGATTTTATTGCTTGATAACATCACTGTTTGTCGTTCGGATGCGCATCATTATATCACTCGGGCTACGCCCTCGTGATATAATTCCCCGCATCCGAACTCCAAACAGTGATGTTATTGAGCAATAAAATCACAGTTTGGGATATATTATTTCTTAAGTATAATTATGTTTAATTAAATGTACTGTAACGTAAATGGGGGACCGAGGTAGTCGGTGTAAAAAGCTCATCAGAGCTTATGTTTATTGTTGATGTATCCGACTTATAAATAAAATTTACTTGACTTGACTTGACTTGACCGAGATACATGTACGTAGGCAATTCTTATAATTACTAGGGTAAAGCTAATCTGGTTCCCTGTCCTATTATGGTTCTCATCCAAGATACTTTTTAGAAGTTCGCAAGGGACCAGTCTAGGGTAAAGCTTCCTAATGAAATAATCAATTTATTTCCAAGACAGGTCATGTAAAATGACATATAAATCAAAATAATAATGAGAATCAAAGAAAAAATAAAGATGTTAAAGAAAATAAAAAACTTGATTCGTACTATAGCAATAACAATGAAATGAAGAAAAATAAACTATTATCTTTTGGGATCATTATTGCAAGTTTATTTTTGCCCTTCAATTTCAAAACCCGTACGAGAGATATTCCTTAAAACATTATCATTTCCTTAGAAGGTTTACAGACACTTCACCCCTCCCCAGACACTTCACCCTAGGCCCTTTTTTGAAGACACTTCACCCCTCAGACAGTTCACCCCTCATCTTAAGAAATTTGATTGAGACACTTCAACCTCCCCATTTTTTATTTTGTGTTAAACAATTATTTATGTTGAAAATGTTAAATGTATTCAAATGAGTATGTTTATTGTTTTAACAAATTTTATTATTATTTTATCATGTAATTGACCAAAGACAATGGATATACATTGTTGTTTTTGTCCTACAAAAAGGCTCATATCACAACGTTATTAGTAAGTTAATTATTTTTATTTTAGTTTTATATAGTTTATACTAATTTCAATTAAAAGGAAAGTGATATAACTAATTGAATATTCTTTCTATTAAAGTTTGTGAACCCGTGTGTGAATTTTACTTAGGAAATAGATATCAATTCTGAGTGCATTGTTGTAGAATAATGCACGGTTTGAGTTCAAATGCGTAGTAATATAATCACGAAGGCCGATAGGCCTGAGTGATTAATTACAAAGCATTTGAACAAAAAACGTGCATTATTATACAATAATGCACGAAGAATTAATATCTATTTCCATTCTAACACGTCAAGAAAAAATATAATTATTATTATAAAGTTGGACTTTATGTTTGGCGGTTAAATTTGTTTTCGCCTCAGAGTTTCCAATAGAAACGTTCTTTAAAGGCCGTTCCAGTGGGTTGAAAAAAACTGTCGTTAAATCTACCGTGTGTAGAAACATTTTGAGAATAACGAATTTTGAAAACGTTGATAAAACTTTGTTTGTTTATTTTATTTCAGTCTATAATTTTCCAAGCGAAATACAAATTATTAAAAGTGAAATAAATGTTAAACTTAACTCGTCTGCGACGTTAAAATAGCGTACTTGATTTTGATTGTTTTGCACGTGCTGTTTGGCGCTACATTGTGACGTCACGTAAACAACACTTTAAACGTCTGTACGGCGTTAACGACTGAATTAAAGATATTGGTGTTCGGATTTATTTTCTTAGTTAGACCATTTTCTATCATTCTAGATAGTTTTCACAACAAAATTCGACAAAAAATTGTTTTTATTTATCAGATTTTTCAAACAAAATGGCGCCCTCAATGTGAAAATACACAGGGAGATAATAAGAACGGCGAGTGCATTGTTGCAGAATAATGCACGCATCGGGCCTTCTTTGTTTATATAGAAACATTTCCGATAGTGTTAGAATTTGATATATATTTAGTATATAATCTCTTTCACATTTCCTTTGTGTCTTTAATTGACATTATCTTTTTTAATGAATTGAAAGCAAAACATCTCATGAGTACAAATAGAACTGGCAACATATACCATGAGATACTGGTAAGTTTACTTAATTTGAATTGTTTACAACATTTTGTAAGTAAGGTAATACAAATTGTTCTTTTTTATCTATTACAATAAGAGGATAAATAATTTATGTATATTTCATTCATTCATATTCATTTATATTCATAATAATCATTTTATTTATTAATTTATTTATTTTTCGTTCAATATTATTTAAATATCTATATTTTTTTATTTATTCATTCATTCATTTAATATTCATACAATAATACCTTTTTAATCCAATTATCTAATCAATTATGAGATATCTGTTGAATAAACAACCAATCAACATGTTAATTGAATAAACAAGGTGACACACAATAAACAGTTAAAGGATAAAAGTGCTTTGTTTAACAGTGGGCAATACAATCATCATAAATTAAGGACTGATCGAGGAATTCTTAGAGAAAGTGGGGGAATTTATGGATGTCTATGAAAATGTGAACATATATTATATTTTGAACTTTTATTTTAAAATAAAAAAAATATATGTTTTATGAAAATGTGTTTTTTAAACCAGTAAAATGTTATGTTATATTACATGTTATAGGTAAATGAGTTAAATAAATTATTACATGTTTCATTTGTTTACTAAACAAATATTTACTCTTAGAAAAGTCTGTAAATTGGCCTTTAATTAAAAACTTATTAATCAAATAATACTAAAAATAAACAAAATACTTTAATATAAAAACTTATTTATCCAAAAATACTAAAAATAATTAAAATAAACATATAAAAGCATTATATTGTTGGCTTATTTACTTTATAGGAAAAAAAATGGATGAGGGGTGAACTGTCTTACTGATTTTGGGGGATGAAGTGTCTTGAGAGGTGAAGTATCTTTAAATTTTGAGGGGTGAAGTGTCTGGAGGGTGAAGTGTCTTGCTACCTCCTTAGAAAACTTACAAGAATAACAAAATATTTTTTTTAATTGTTTATAGATATTTAGGATTATAAAGAGCCTAAATGTCAGTGATTTCATTTCTCTAGAAGCCAAATATAAAAAGTGAGCTGATTATTTGTAAATAAACTTTATATAATCTGTTGACGTTAAAGTTGTAATTAAGCTTTTGAAAAGACTATGACACAGATTTATTTACGAATGAATATATCAAAGAAATATTTTAATTGTGTTTGTTTAGTAACTGAACAAAATGGTTAAAGCTATCTTTTGCCATTCCCCCGTTATTTTTGTTGAGAAAAAGTGAAATTTGGACTTAATTGGATGTTAGCAGACTTCTACGTCTTTATAAAATGAATATGGTGGGGCTTGGGGCTAAGAGTGATGCACCATATTAACCGGATTAAAAACCGATGTAAGGTTTTCTGATATATCCAGGCTTAGGTATGTATAGCTGAGGTAACCGATTCTAATTGGATTCCGTGAGGGTAGTATTGTGTTGGAATAGGATGTTTCCTTTTTGTGACGTAGTTAACTTGACACTAGGAGGGGTTAATTCCATATCCCACTGCAACTCCAACTCCCGATTAAGGCGATTTTGGAGTGTGACTGATTGATTTGCAGATGTCAGACCATTGCATATTGCAGTATTGTTTGCAAACAAGCAGACCTCTTGCCATAACTTGTCTGACAATGTAAGAAGGAAAATATATTAACAATGTATTTTGCATTTCTAAAACTTTCGAGAATTCAAAATATTATATACATTAAAAGTGAAAATGTTTACCCAAAGATGGTCTTTTCCTGTACACGCGTTTCACTTTTATTACTTTTTCCAGAGACATAGAGATATCACGCATGCTTGCTAAACTTAAAACATGTAGCAAGTAAAACTTAACAACCGGATATCAAAATCTGTAAAATAATACATTTTCTGAAGGCTTTTGCATTTGTCTATGGCTACAGGTAAAAACATTTACGGTTCCCATTTAAATAACTGATACCTCAATTTTTGTTAAAAAATATTTATATGAGGAAAAAACTTTTTCAAGGTCAATACATTCATCTAGTCAAAGACGAATAATTTATCAAATCTTTTTCATTAAAATTATACAATTTTAATTTAAGATTTAAGTGTTTAACAAAAGGAAATGATTGAAATAAATACATCTAAAACTCAATAAAAACGCCAAGAATTATTTTCTCAAAATCAAATTAAATTATTGTTATTTTTTTTTTAATATAAACCAAGGAGTTGATCATGAATAAGGAGTTGATAAGAACCTGGGAAATATGAGGAATATTTGCGTATGGACACGACCTTGGTGAGAATTGTCTGCATCCTTTTCAGATTTATCCAGATGAATATAGCAATAATTATGACTTGATACTCACATATGTTATTTAAATTTCGATATTTAAAAAAAACCGTAACAGATCTATGTGGTGTATTTTGGTACAATATCCGATATTGTGGGTTTAATATCATTGTTGTTATCAAGAATTTCATTGGATTATACAAATTTATTACGCTCATTCCGATTGGCTAGAAAAGTAATCAGCTAACAATGGCTGCCTCCACAAATTTCTCATCACCGTCAACAATCTGGGTATTTATTTGGCCTGATTAAAAAGACAACTGTTATAAATATTCCTTTAAATGCTTTGAAAGCTTATATGATTTCAAAATGATAATTATGTTTGGATAATCAGTACCTTTTGTTATGTAAACACGTCTTGTGGAACTGTTTTCTATTGAAACTTTCTACTTTCACTTTGATTAATTTCAAATAAATGTGAGAAGTAGACAATTTAAAATATCTCGATGAGGAGCACGATAAAGTATAATGTTTTTCAGCTTGAGTTTTCGAAAAAAAAAATTCTGAGCAATTAATTTCAACAGTCGGGTTTTCGTTCCAGAAAACTTAACAGGCAAATTATGTCCTAGGTTAGACCCCTATTTATTAATATGAAACAGGCAAAGCCTCAAAGCGAGTTGGAATTTCTGTTACTGTAAAATAGTTTAAAATAATCATTCATTCTTATTTTACATTTTCCGTTTTAAAATTGTCATTCGGCATTTTATACACTGCTTCCGTTTATTCTGGTTCCCCCTTTCTATTATGGTTCCCATAGAAGTGCACAGGACACCAGTCTACACTTCTGTTTTTAATCAGATTACATTGGCTTTTATCATTATCTTGTAATTCGAAAAGTTGCGATGTGTCAATTTGGTACTCCTGACGAAAGTTTTCAAAACCATCACTTTCTAGCAGGTACTCACGTTACTGTAAAGCTGGCTTTGTGAGCAGGCCCTTTGGGCCAGCTCGTCGAGCTTGCTATCATACATCTATTGACAGTTTCTGAATTAGTATATGACAGGCTATTCTTATACGTGTATCTCACTGTATAAAACATATAATGGTGCCTCATATTTACGGGGTACTTAACTGTTTAACATAGAAAACAAAAGTAAGAAGAATAAAATTCTGGAAAATATGTTGAATAATGTAGGAAAGACATGTCAGTTACATCGTAGTTTATTCTTTTTAATGTTTGCATGTAAGCAATTATGTACACAACATGGCAATAAACACCCATCTGCTGCCTAGTGAGTAAATTACATTTAAACAGTTTCAAAAGCAAAACCAATAGTAATCTTTATTTTTAGTGTATCTATACCTAGCCTTGTTTGAAAGTGGGAATTTTCTCTTTGGCATTTATCAAATATCTCAATGGTTGTTTAACAAAGACAATTGTCTTAAAAGGTACAAAAACTGAATGTAAAATGTTGAAATAATTGACTTTGCTCTTAATCTGAATAAAATAATAAGTTTTCTGAGTTGTATATGTTACATTTCAATAAAAATACAACAAGAGAGCGAAAGTAAAACTCCTGGCAGGTTCATGAAGTCTATGAGGCAGTTAAGACTGTTAATGCCTATTACCTTGGAAATATGAGTACCACGGAAATATGAGGCACCAGTATATGTAAGATGATCTGACTTGTGGTAGGTTTAACTGTAAATATAAATACCTTTACTGTCAAACAATGTGTTGAAGTATATATACTGAGACAAAGCTAAGATCACAAGCTTTTCATTGGTGTAATAAATTTTAAAATTAGATATTAAATAACCCCAAAGTAACGGTTTGAAAATGGCTAAACTTGCATTGTTTAAGCATTAGAGATATTGAATTTAGTCGAAGATAAGGGAAAGTCAAACAACTTATATTTTTTCACTCGATATACATCAGTTATTTAAGTAGTTCATATAGAGACTGTCAATGGGTGTATATATAAAGTAAAAAAGGAATGAACATTATATATATATCCTAGTTTGTCAGTAGCCTTTTGGCATTGGTCATTAATTTTTTTTGTTTGTTAATTTATTAAATGATTCCAAAACTTTATAGCGAGCTCGACAAGCTGGGCTCTTCGCTCGTAAAGCGAGCTTTACGGTAACGCGAGTACCTGCTAGAAAGTGATGGTTTTGAAAACTTTAGTCCCAAGTAACGAATCGACACATCGCAAATTTTTGAATTGCAACTTTTCGAATTGCAAGGTAACAATAAAAGCCAATGTACTCTGATTGAAAACGGAAGCGTAGACTGGTGTCCTGCGCACTTATATGGGAACCATAATAGAAATGGGGACCGAAAGCAGTGTATAAAATACCGAATGACAATTTCAAAACGGAAAATATAAAATAAAAATGAACTATTATTTTTTACTGTTTTATGTTAAAAGAAAATCGAGCTCGCTTTGAGGCTTTGCCTTTTTCATATTAAGTCACATTTTTGTTTTAATTTAGATGCACATGTAAATTTTGGATCAGATCCATTACAAAAGCTAACCAGAATAACATACATTGACCGCAGTTTTTATCCTTCTCTACACCGGTCCGGTAAACAGACCGTTCCCAGTCATCACAAGACCCGTCCCAGTTCGTACACGGACCTGGCCCAATTACATTTAAGTTATCTTTTCCCGCAAGTATTCTATATAAATACCATTCAAAATCATGCAAAATATTTTTTTAAAAATTTAACTCCCAATATAAGTGGCTTATACACAAGGTTCCTGAATCTGTAAACATTTCTAACAAAATTTGTTTTGACAGCCATTTTAATGTGGCTTGAGTTATTTTCAAGTTGTGATAATTACGAGGGTCAGCCGAAATGAATGAGAGTTTCCTTATTACGTAAAAACTACAAGTTTGACCTACATTGTACAAAATCTCTTCATAGTCCCTCAACATAATCTCCTGTGGATGCAGTGGTTGACTCCCGTCTTTTTGGCAGATCCCGGCTGTAAGTAAGGGAGATTATTTATATAGAATATCTGATTAGATGCAAGAGAGATTCCAGGCACAATGCCCAGAGGACACCTGAAAACTTCAACAGACTGGAATAATGCTCAACATGAAACCCTTCTTTACTACTCATTGTGACCTGTTGTCCAAGAAAGACATGCTCTGTTTTTGAGAGTTACTCCCCTTATACTATAGAAATGCAGGTTATAGAGGAGATTTTCACTGTTGACCAATTTGACCATGTCAAGGGGTATGACTGTTCTGATTGACAGATTAAAAAATGTCAGCATCTATCATAAAGAGTTGGGCTTGACAGACAGGAACTCTTTTCTGTTTGCATTAATCTGTTTATCCACAATTTAATAAAATAATAAAAATAACAAGGTTTTACTACATCAAAAACATGTGAAGGGACAAACTCATAATATCTTTTACTAAGCTAAATAAGTAAATATCCTTTAAAAGTTGTACAAAATTATGAAAGCAGGATAATATTGTTCTAAATGCAGTTAAATTTTACATGACTGACTGTCACTATAAGTCAGTCATCACTGATAACTATGAATATGGAATTTGCGTTTCACTTTTGGCATTTTTACTTGTGTATCTAAATAATTAAAACATGTATAATTCCTTTAAATTTTTCTCTCTTTTTTTTCAGTCAAGATTTCAACTTGCCTATGGAAGACCCCTAAATCAAAGATGCCTGGAACTAGAACAACTCATTAATAATTCAAGCAATAAAGTATGTTTGTGATGTATTTATTTCCTACATATCTACTACGAAATGTATATTATATGTGGAACACTAATTTCCATGGTTTTCGTGGATAGGCCAATCCTATATAAACCTATGATCCAACAAAATTTCATTTCATCTGCTGTAAGATTATTTTGCATCACATTATTTATATTTTACCTGTTGAAAAAATAAACAGTTCACGAGGGTAACAATCCACAAAATTGTTCTTTGTGACAAAACCATGAAATTTTATGCCCACAAAATAGATGTAATCAGGATCTTGGCAAATGTGGGTTTTTCTATGCTTATCCCCTGGTACAAACAAACTTTTACCATTTATAGCTTCACGGTGCACTACCCAGTCACAATAGATAAATTAACCTGTTGTGCTTATTTCAAGGCAGTAACTATAAAAGTTTGTTTGTACCCCCTGATAAGCTGGGAAAACCCCCAAAATATTCTTTATTCCGGAGTAAATCTATTAAGTGATTTCACAGTTATGCACATATTTAATATATTCACTAATGTTTATATTTAATTATTGATTAACATCTGTATTTTATTTATATAATTTATATCAACTCTTTAAAACTCTTTATAAGCAAAATAAATTTAATTTAATAAATTAATATAACAGATTGATCTATCAAATGTAAATATGGAGCTGATGAAGTGTATACAATTTTCACTGAGAGAAAAGATAAATGTGCATCAGTTTACCATATTTTGAAATAATCTACCATATACATGTAACATGCTAAACATCTTAATTTGACTTGTCATTATTTCAATCTGGACTATGTAATTCGTCATTTTCAGGGAAAATTTCAGAATATGTATTGACTGAATAGAGCTTATGTTTTTCGGTCTTTGTCTGTACTGGAGCCTAAATTAATGTTTGATTATTATTTGTTTTTTTAGGACTTAAGCAGTATACTGCCAGGATTATTAGAGAATATATTTGGATCAGGTACCGAGCCAGGATGGTCTTTGGATACAATAACAAAATCACAACCACACAGTGATTTTGATGGTGTATTTAGGTTTTTAGGTCCAGAGGGACCCCTGATGAAACTTGTTTGTCACCTTCAGACAGATCCCTACCTGATGTACGAATTTCCCTTTGCCAGTCTACCTGTAAGTAGTTTATTCCAGTAGAAAATTGTGTTTTTGTTTCATAAAGAAAGCAATTTATTTAAAGTCAGTTGACAAAATGTTAAATAGTATGCATATACATGTATATGTTCAGTGATGGCTCACAGAACATAACCATGTTTTTGGGTCATAACAACGTCCAAACAAAACAAAAACAAGAAGTAAAATAAAATATTGAAATTCTTAAGTCATCACAGTGACAGTAATTTCACTTGGGTATGTATTTTTATTACCCTTTATATGTGCCATATATGATAAAGGATTAATACAAAGCTGTCCAGTTAGCTCAATTGGTAGTGTGGACTGTGAATCAGGCGACCCAGGTTTGATTCCCAGATTGCGCAGGTCTCATTTGTTGACTTGTGACTGATTATGAAATCCTTTTTCCATCATTCGCACTGTACCATTGCTTTGGCAAGAACTTAAGTATATTAGTTCCTTGCCAAAGTGAAGGTACAAGGTTCTTATTTACACAGCTGCCATTTTTATTCTTTCATGTGAGGAAGCTATCTAGCTAGCTTACGGAACGTCGGTGGTTCTACTCAGGTGCCCGTTTGTGCCTGAAATAATGCACTAAAGAGCACCTGAGGTCTTTCTCCACCAGTAAAGCTGGAACGTCGCTATATGACCTATTCTGTGTCGGTGTGACGTAAAACCGAATCAAACAAACAAACATCATGCACAGTATGATTTTTCACAAATAGGATTTTATCGAGAATAGAACAAATCAGATGACAGATATTGACACTACATCAATATATTGTGTAAAATCTTTCTATTTTTCACTTCATACCTACATGAATTAAGTAGAACAGATGTTCTGTACATATAATTATGATATGTATTGTTTATAAATGCTCACTGTATTCCCGTAATCACTGCATGCTTTTTTTCTGACTATCTTTAGTCTGTCTGTTTTGGCAGACAGTTGAGCTATTAGGCCACCCTTAATAATATATATGTTTGCTATTGCCGACCCAGAGTTATAAGGAGTGGGTCGGTAGGTAGGCTTTTTTTTTTTTTTTTTTTGATATATGATTTTTACGGAACGTAAGTTAATACGCTAAGTACGTTGTAGCAGATTATGGAAATTTGGACTACATTATCATCATCGGCAACGACAAAACTGACATGTAAAAGACAGTCAAAAAATCAAAAACATGTTCACTTGTAATCATAACATGAAATAAAAAGATGACTATGTGGACATAAATTCAAGCATGGTTAAATTACCGATGTGATAAACTTATCCTGCGTAAATATTCCCGTACGACCTGGAAAATTATAGTGGATCACCGGGACATTTCGTTCTCTAGGGTGATCATTACTCAATTTATTACACGTCTGTAAAAAATAACACACGCAAGATTTGTCTCCTATAATTTCTGAATGGCGGATATTTGCACCCCTGTTTAAAAAATGTTAAAATATTTAATTGTTAGTTACCCAAAATTATCGCCGATTGTTGAAATTCCATAGCGCTAAAAGACACAAAAACACTCACGCAAAAAGTAGCATCCATAAATAAAAGGAATTTGTGTGTGTTTGTGTTTGTTTACCCTCGCCACCGGAAAGAGACCATATGGGCGAGCATATACTTCATTTATAATCATTAAAAAAATGGGGATCTGATGTTTATTATACTTGTTATTATATCCGTACATGTGTTTATGTGCATACCATATCCCCCATGACAGGGTTGTCTCTACGTACAACCTCTGCCATGGGAGGAAGATGGGGCAATCCCATACTAAGTTTGAGAAATCTAAAATTTATTAATTAAAAGCACTTAATTTAAAATCGGCCAAGACGTTTATATAGATTACCGTCTTTTATAACAGGACTAATATTTATTTAATATAACTAAAAATTTTTAGAAATTTACTTATAATTGTAGAGTTCGCATACTTATGTGCGAGAAGGCATGTCAGGAACGTTTTCTGACCATTTCAATGTGGGCTGACTGTTGTTTATGTTGGTTTCTATTTACATGTTATAAACCGTATACATTGGGATGCATATAATTAATAACATGTTTGTAATTAGCAGAGTTTGTTTTAAATTTTGTAAATTTTGTAAGTTCTACCGAACACCCGCTTTATAAAGTTAATTTTGATTGGTTTAGAGAGGATTGCCTCCTTTGTTCTCATTGGTCTAAAATTTCTTCTATCTAAATAAGGAGGTCAATCCGATTTTCTTGAAAATTCTGCAAGTTTTTGTGTTGACCTATTTCGACAAGTTTGTCGCGAGGACTGGATAGAAATTTGCGGGTGCCCGTTGCATCCAATGTATACGTGTTTTTACCAACTTTATTTCAAAATTAAAACAGATATGATAATTAAAATGTGGTGGAAACAGCCTTATCTATTTATCACTGTCTCATGGTCTATGAATTATTATGCATCTAGATATCACACATAATAATTAATCTTCTATTACTTAAACAATTCATAGAAGAATAAGAAAAAATCTAAGTCCCAAATATGGCTAATAATAATAACTTGGTTACCCATAATGTGATGAGATAGTCTTTATGTAACATATTTAAGAAAATCTCATGCTTGAGTGAACCCGTGATAAACGTATTGCTCCATATGGGGGCACGGGTTCACGTTTACTAGTATTAAGGATACTAGTTTATATATACAGGAATAAAAAAGATAGATAATAAATAATAAAGGAATATAATGTTTCCATTGTTAAATAATAAATACAAAATTTACACACGAAATGACCTCTGACAAATGACTGGTCGGCACTTCTGAAGAATCTGTGAATCTTTGATGTTTACACACCTGTAGTTGTTGCCGAATCATCAAAGAAGTGCCGACACTCAATTGACTTCCACCTCTTTTATATATCAGAAAAAAAACAGTCATTTCTTTTTGTCAAGGAATGATTACACATGTTTAATTATTGCTCAAGTAAAAAAAATGTTGGATATTTATTGTGTCAATTATTGACATATTATAAATCGTAAGTGCATTTTGACATGGAGTTTAATTGGACGTATGTATATCTGTGATTTTGATTATGATATTTTATTTACATTTTTTATGATCTTGAAGTGCAATATTTGTGTCTGCTATCAAAACAATAAAGCATATGAAAGGACCACAGCTTCCAAAAATTTATTTTCTCTGTCAATTTTATGACAGAATCCCCGCTGCTACCATAAATGTTTTATTGCATGGGCTAAGTATTTAATCTGTGTCGGCAGTCATTAACAAACGAACATGTACCCAAAGCACATTAAAATTACCACATGGTAAACTCGTGACCATATAAATGCTTTACAAATATTCATTAATTGAACAAACATTAATTTTAATCCCGTTTCCACACCTTTATTTGATACGTTCTATTATTAGTTAATTCAACTTAATTGCCGCGCGCATGCAGTACTGCGTGACGTAAGGAAAATATCCTTACCTGGTTGGTCGCTATTTATGTGAATACTTTAAATAGTAACACCATAATTTTATGCACAGAATGGCCTCATGAATGATCACTCGTTACTTTACATATTTAATGTGTGACTTTCCTCCGATTTTTTTTTGTTTTCAAGGGAATTTTTTGGGTCAAATGCCCTGGCTGATTTGGCCGAAATAAAAAAAAAAATGATTTTTTTAAGCTGAAAAAAACTTTTGAGTCGGGGCATTTTCGCCGGGTCGGCCGGCAATAGCAAACAGATAATTTTTTAAGAGTGGCCTTATGATCACTGTACCATCATCTTTGTTGTTGTCGTGCAAAATGAAGCCTATTATTCAAACATTTTTAGCTTGTCTGTTTCAAAGTAAAAGTTGCGCTATTATGATATGATTGTAACAGTGCTTTTTGTTGTTGTCATGCAAAAACTTTTATGCAGTCTCATTAAAATCATATCATTGTTACCTAGCGAGGGATATTGGAGCGACAGTTAGTATATGATTTTAACTTTAATGTAGCCTGTTACTTAACATTTTTAAAGATTCCAACATTAAACTTGGTATACTTATATATCTAATGACAAGATGCAGTTGTTAGACAAGGGGAATATTTCTTAAAGCTATATTTTCAGAGTTTTATGCACCTGTTAACTTTGAATTTTTGTCAAAATTACTTATTAAGCTGAATGATATCATAACTATTAAAGATATCAACATGAAAGTTAGAAGACTTGATTATTATGATGATGCACAGGCATAAGGAAATTTGGACCATGTGCAGTTTTAAATGTAAAATTGAACTTTGATATCTGCTGACCTAGATTTTAATGAAGTGACCTATTTTCTTGACCTGGAAATGATTCATACTTGGACAAACAACAAGTGTGACTTGAATAACTAATTTTTTTTTTCCTAAAAAGATTTGTTGAAAACATTTTATTTGTTTGCTTTTACAAAAAGTAAAAAAGTCAAGCGCTCTACAGTGGCTGTTGTTCAGTTAAATTAAAGTGGTGATAAGTTTTATTTGCTCATTGATACTAGGAGGTAGTTAGCGATTATTTATGAGGAAAGTCAAAGAACTGGAGTTATGAATTTTTTATTACTTTTTTTTTCATTATCTCTAGGGAATTGTAAATTTGTTATGAAAACTTTAATTTGATGTTCACAGAATCCAACAAGACATATGGTTGAAGAAGGAAGTTTGCCGATGTTTTATGTGAATAAACTACAGTTTCAGAGTTACTCTAAACCCATCCTTATGTTAGGTAAGGTTTTGTTTTTTACATATTAGGTTTGACTTTAATTGTTTTGTATAGAGGTGAATATCCCTTTCTGCCTTGGTGATTTGTAATCCAAAATTCTTAAGCTATTCATATCTGCATATGAAATGAAACTAATAATATTAAGGAAACCTCTGTGGCCTAGTGGGTTGTGTCACTGATTTCTGTAGCCAAGTGGTTTGTGTCACTTATTTCAGAATTCTATCATTTGAGAAAACTATACAACTAGGTAACAGAAGGTTGATGGTTCTAGTCCGGTGTAAGTTTTTGCATGAATTAATATGTGAACTTCTCTAATAAAACTGTACAGTTGCTATAATTATGTTATGGTTTGTCTAAAAAACAAAAAACAAATTCATATATAATTATATAATGATAATGTTTGGTAAGTTATAGTTGAAAAAGAAACAGATTGATATTAGTGCATGTCAGATTATGAACACATGAAAAAAGCTTTTATGCTGATAAGTTAACAATCTCTTAGAAATTGACAAAAAAAAAATGAATAAATCTGTCATATTTTCTATATCTTTATTACAATGATTGGAGTGATGCAGAGTTTGTCAGTATTAGTGAGACTGTTAATCTGTTTAAAGGTGTAACAATAATTGTTACTGCACCAGTTAACATAATGATCATATTTTTTCAGGGGCATTTGAGCTATACATGTTTCACTTCTCAGTGACCCTGGTATCAAAACAGTGGCAGATGAAATCTCTCAACTGGAACAACATGACAGAAGTTGTCTACCCTTGCCTCCTTGACAAATATCTTGACTATTTTTTACCCCTCAATAAAAAGAGTCTTCCAAAATTCCCACAGTCCATCAGTACACCAGTTCGAAGTCCCATGATGCAACAAACACCAACAAGGTAATACACATATGAGCCACATCTTGACAAAACCAACCTAATGGGTTTGCGACCAGCATGGATCCAGACCAGCCTGCGCATCCGCGCAGTCTGATCAGGATCCATGCTGTTCGCTAACTGTTTCTCTACTTGTTATATGTTATATTGCAAATAGCATGGATCCTGATCAGACTGCGCGGATGCACAGCTGGTCTGGATCCATGCTGGTCGCAAACCCATTATGTTGGTTTTGTCATGGCACGGCTCATATGTCAGTCTTTGTGAAGCACATATTAAAAGTTATCTATACAAGTTCATAAAAAAATGAAAGATGAAATTACTTAATAATGTATCTGCCAGTTGTAATCACACCCATACCCCAGAAGGGGAATACCCAAGAATTTTACTTTGATTTTCAACCACTGGTGAAGGCCCCCTTTCAGGTTCATCAGATCATTAAGTCAGGCATTTTGTAGACAAAACAAAATCACAGTATGTCTGGGCAGTGAAAATCCTGTTCATTTACCCCACCCATCTCTGGGGATTGGATGAGCATGGTTACAATTGATAATTTTTCCAGCCCTTCTCCAGGGATGGGTGGGGCATGGTTACAATTGATCATTTTCCCAGGGATGGATGGATCATTGTAACAAACTTACAATTGATTACTTTAACTACTCTTGTCCAGGGATGGGCAGATGATGGTAATAGTTGATCATTTTAATCACCCTTCTCCATTGATGGGTGGAGCATGATTACAGTGGGCTGGTGCATGATTTGCATAGAAATATTTAAGAAAATTTAAGCACTTATAAGGTAAATAAAATGTCTTGTAGTATAACTAGACTGATATGATGGCTAATTCATTTGAGTGAATTGTTTGTGAAAATTTTTTAAAATTAAGTACAGGCTATTCAAATTCAAATCAAAAGCAGAGCAAATGATCAAGATGAATTGATACATTGTTCAAAAGAAATATTGTAGCGGATCATAGATACTTAATATTAGGGCTAGTAAAAATGTAAATACTAGGGAACATAAGAGCAAATATTGGTTTTTATCCAAAAGTGGTCAGAGAGGTTGATTTCCCATATGTATATTTGGGGATCCGTATTGTGGCTGTTTTTTACCCAATAAGTGACCAAATTTAGTTTATGCATGTTATATATTTTTTAAGTGTACAAATGTATGTCTTTAACTTTTTTTTCTCTCTGTGTTTTTTTTTAAGCCAGAAACATTCCCTGGAAGGGGTCACAGAAAAGGTCAAGGGTTTTTTGGGGGTTTTCTGAAGGCAAATTTTTAATGAACAAAACCCCACACAAAAGTTCCCCCGTTACTAAAAAATTGAGGGAGACTTTTGGGTGGTCTGCCCCCTTTTTTTTAGGTGAATAATTAACATATGTTATTACATTTTCAACTTACATAATGTATTTGCATGTACATGTATTAGAATAAATATAACAAATATAGTTTTCACTTTACATATATAAGATAAATAATATTTGGTGTTGTGACATTTTTTGACAGGTCTATAAGTAATTAAGATTGGGGCTTTTTCCTCAATATTTTGCAGGGTCCTGAAACACAGAAATGTTGGAATTCAATACACACAAGTAGTCTTTCATTATGTTTGACATATAACACAGGATAGTTGATAAATACAGAATATTGAATACCCAAATAGATTTTTGTATTTCTTATGTCGAAAAATAACTGTATTTTCTCTAGAAAAGATATAGGTATATAATAAATGTCTTTATTAAACCCTAGCATTTACATTACTCAAATTAAAAAATAGGTTTTTATTAAGATATTTCCTAACTTCTATAATATTATATCCATAAAAGTCCAAATATAATTCAAAATACTCAAATAAAGACTCAAATTAAGTTCAGATTCTTATAAATGAATTTTTATATTGATTTTTAAGAAAAGGAGATTTACGACTGGTTGCCATGATAATTAACTTGCGAAAATGTCCTTGATTCCGTAGACAATGAAACATTTTTAGGAGCGTACATTGTTACAGTGTACATGCACTTATGATTTTTATTGAAGGTAGGTTTGAAGGTCTGCAAATTTTAAAAACTTACCAGGAACATTTAATTTAAATTTTGTATGTAGTTTTATACCATTTAGATATTGCTGCCCTGTTAGTGCGTCATTTATAAATTGTATAAATGAAAAAGCCAAACCTCAAAGCATCATCCCTCTATCATGATAACTTTAATGAAAATTTTAAAAAATGTCTGAAAAGTGAAAAGTAAACTATTAAGAATGTCATAAAGTAAGAAATTTACTCTTTGGAAACAGCATTTGCAATCAAAGTAAATTACCGAAAAGAGGTCAAAATATGCAAAAGTTATGCAGTAATAATATGGTAAGATTTACTGTAAATCAGTCATTAATAGCACATATCACATTATACTATAGCTTGAAAATTAAGATTTTTTTTTTACTTTTCTTAAAATTTTAGTATTTTTATTTTACTTTCCTTAAAATATTAGTATAATTTCTTAACTTTGATTTTCTTGAAGTAATTTTGCTCATCTGGAGGCATGCAGCTTTCAGTTATATAATGTAGGGTTTGATGCTGTTTATTATTTTCTTCCTGATTTTGATTATTTATTGTTTTCCTTCCGCAGAATTGTTAATATTATATAATATAGAAATAGTCAAATTTATACCCTTGATCCTGGAATAACAAGTTATTTTGGTGAAATATGGTAAACATAATATTAGGAGAGGCTGTGTTATTTGTTTTATGAAAATAATGCAGGGGTGGTCTTAAATTTATCCCCAATAATGTATAATTTTACTGTTGAAACTGGTAGGGAACTAATAAGTGGTTCATGCAACACCAGTTGCTTGACATAGTTTGTAGAAAAAAATAGTTTACAAACATTATTAAAAAATGAATGTAACACAAGAAATAGAAAACATGTGATATGAAATACACCAAGCATGATTTCAATAATGGGTGGAAAATATTGTTTATTTTGTAAGATTGTTCATCAAATGAAGACAGTATATTGTATTAGTTTTACATGTTTTAATGGGTTATCATATACATGTACATTTGTAAGCATATATAACCTAAGTTGAAAAGAAATGGTTATATAGGAAATAATCATTTACACACAGCCATATAACCTGTCAAGAGTCTTTATAAGGAATTAAAAATGCTAGTGGGGTGAGACGTCAAGTCTCTTCTGTAAAAAATAGTGCAAATGGTGATACAAGCATGAAATGATTAGGATACCTTGGACTATGTACATGTCAAAAGTGAAGTGAGTCTAAAAATTTCTCCACTCATTCAAGATGGCAACCCTTTTTCAAAATGGCTGCCATGTGACTTTGATGTAAATTAGTCTTACATTGGACAAAGCAGTGCTTTTTGCTATAGTTTTCATTTTATGTTGCAAATAATGCTTATGCATGTATTTTTTTAAATGCCTTCTGTGATTAAAAAAATGTAGCTGTTTATATAAATCATATGAACATTTGATATTATCCAATGAATATCTGTGATAATATAAATCTGCAGTATTTTAATAGCAGGACTTATACATGTACATTTTACATGTGATTTATAAAGTGTTATTTTAATTTAACAGATTTTGGCAGAGTTCTGGTTGAATCAAAATACCCTAGACATTGAGAAGGGTATATCACCACAAAATTTGGTAAGTTACATTTTATTTTAGAAATGATACAAATAACATAAAATGCAGATATTTCTATTTTGTTTTCGCATACCAGTAAAGTTATGTTAGTTATCAGCTGATACTCTGGGAAAAAAAGATAATGCTAATTTTCATTTTTAAACGTCAAAGGTAAATTTGGTCACATGGACAATTAGTGTAAAATCCTTGGAGGCTCAATTACTTGAAAACAATAAGCCTACTTAGGCTTGTGAATCTTTGTAGGGACATTGCTCACACCTGTAGGTCTTGTGATCATTAGTTCAAAGGTGAAGGTCATATTGATATTAAGTGTTTGCATAATCACTTGATAAACCTTAGTTTGTGAAAATTGGTAGTGTCATTGCTGATGGCAAGTTGATTTTGAAGTCATTAAGCCAAAGGTCAAGGGCAGTGAAACTTGTGAAAAAAATTTTGTACAATCATTAACTTGTTCTGGTTGTTTTTCTTCTATTTTTCAATTGAGTCCACATTTTATATTGTCCATCTTACGACAGCACCTACCACGGGCTTACAGTGCCTAAACACGCCAAGCTCGTGAATTTTATTTGATTTTGAATCTAAATATCTGAATACTTTCTAAATATCTGAATACTTTATTGTAGAACTAACATTGGTTTTAAACCTTGAATCTATTTGAAATTTGAATGCTTTATTGTAGAACATATATTTATGTTTTGAACCTATGAATTTGAAAACTTTATTGTTGAACAAATATTGGTTTTCAACCTATATATATATATATAAACTTTTATTGTAGAGTAAATATTTATTGGGATACTTTATTTTAGAATAACTCATGGTCTAGTTCCCATGTGTCAGACTCATTTATGACATTTTATGTGAGTATAAAAGTACTTGTGCATTTTGTATAGCAAGCTGTTACTAGATACTATATATTTGCATATCATTTATAGTTTTGTTTATTCTATAAATTTGTTTGTTTTTAAAGTGCATTGAATTCTGATTTTGAAAGCTGCATGTTTAGGAGATGGAAGGAAATAGATTATTGTGAAAAATGTACATATTGTAAATTCGAAAACCTTGAAGCATTTTGCTTAAGGGCTGAAAGATATTCTTTTTGTTTGTGATAAACTTTTGGAAAGCCTATGAAATGCCTCTGCTCAATATTTGAAAATATAGTAAAAATATATCTCAAAATAAATCATTAACTGATGCATAATTACCTCAATGGCCAAGAGTAGGATAAAATCAGATAATTTTTTATACATTGTTGAGTGCAATACTGAATTTTATTGTACAAGTACACAACAGTCAAACCTATATCGGACAAGGAGCCAGTATAATATGAATATGATATGGACTTTTTTGGACTGGAAAAATTTAAAATATTACAATGCAAAATTGATAAGACTGACTCTAATAATGATTTAATAATGCTTAAGCCTATAGCATTTTTCCTTTTCGAATAACAGGAATGTAACAATCATCTTGTGTTTGTAGCATGATGTACAAAATAACTAAATTTAGTTTAAGTCATATGAATCATCTCTTCAATCACAATATACTATACATTACTTTTACATTCCACAGACAGCTTATATATGGCTTTATAATACTGCACGTTTGTAAACGTCGCTTTTCATTTGATAATTGTTACGTTTATATAGTTTTACATACACAGCTGCTGTCGATTTATGAAAAAATCTCAGTTTTATTCTCTAAAGAGAAAAGGATTTAGTTTGCTGTATTTATACCCCCGCACAACAAAGTTGTAAGGGGGGTATACTGGAATCAGCTTGTCCGTCCGGCCGTCCGGCGGTTTTTTCTTGTCCGCCCAATAACTTAAGATTCCTTTGACCCTTAGTCTTCATATTTTGCATGGAGGTTAGTCATGATTAGTAGATGACCCCTATTGATTTTGAGGTCACTAGGTCAAAGGTCAAGGTCACAGGGGCCTTGACTTCAAAAAGCTTGTCCGCCCAATAACTTAAGATTCCTTTGACCTACAGTCGTCATATTTGGCATGGAGGTTAGTCATGATTAGTAGATGACCCCTTTTGATTTTGAGGTCACCAGGTCAAAGGTCAAGGTCACAGGGACCTTGACTTCAAAAAGTTTGTTCGCCCAATAACTTAAGATTCCTTTGACCCACAGTCTTCATATTTGGCATGGATGTTGATCATGATTAGTAGATGACCCCTTTTGATTTTGAGGTCACTGGATCAAAGGTCAAGGTCATAGGGATTTTGACTTCAAAAAGTTTGTCCACCCATTAACTTACGATTCCTTTGACCCACAGTCTTCATATTTGGCATGGAGGCTAGTCATGATTAGTAGATGACCCCTTGAGGTCACCAGGTCAAAGGTCAAGGTCATAGGGGCCTTGACTTCAAAAAGCTTGTCCGCCCAATAACTTAAGATTCCTTTGACCCTTAGTCTTCATATTTGGCATGGATGTTAGTCATGATTAGTAGATGACCCCTATTGACTTTGAGGTCACCAGGTCAAAGGTCAAGGTCATAGGGGCCTTGACTTCAAAAAGCTTGTCAGCCCTATAAATAACTTAAGATTCCTTTGACCCTTAGTCTTCATATTTGGCATGGAGGTTAGTCATGATTAGTAGATGACCCCTATTGACTTTGAGGTCACCAGGTCAAAGGTCAAGGTCACAGGGGCCTTGACTTCAAAAAGCTTGTCCGCCCCAATAACTAAGATTCCTTTGACCCACAGTCTTCATATTTGGAATGGAGGTTAGTCATGATTAGTAGATGACCCCTATTGATTTTGAGGTCACCAGGTCAAAGGTTCAGGTCACAGGGACTTTGACTTCAAAAAGTTTGTCTGCCCAATAACTTTAGATTCCTTTGACCCACAGGCATGGATGTTGAATCATGATTAGTAGATGACCCCTTTTGATTTTGAGGTCACTGGATCAAAGGTCAAGGTCATAGGGATTTTGACTTCAAAAAGTTTGTCCACCCATTAACTTATGCTTCCTTTGACCCACAGTCTTCATATTTGGCATGGATGTTGATCATGACTATAAGGTGACCCCTATTTATTTTGAGGTCACTGGGTCAAAGGTCAAGGTCACAGGGACCTTGACAAAAAAAGCTTTTCTTCTCAATTGCTAAAGAATGTCCTGTCCGAAATGTATTGATTTTGACATTTTCACATTTGAAGCATGTAGAATACATAACTTAGCAATGCACTGGCTTAGTAACCTCAGATTTGACAGGGAGATTGTTCTTGAGCTCTAAATGGCCACTGTTGATTCTGACAAAGTGGTATGCGGGGGTATTCACGCCATGATAGTGGCAGTTCTAGTTTATATATATCTGTTATGAATATTCCTGACAAGTAAATTAATATGGTTGTTTGAAATATAATACCTGAGCCGCTATTTCCAGACAATCTTTTCTATAGGGCCATATACTAGTAACCTATCAAAATTCTTAATAACTAGTATTATACACTTTTTTCATTATATTTCATAGACAGGGATTTTGCTTTTTTTCTCTATTTTCTTGTATTATTATATCACTTGATTGACAAAAGAAATTTTGATCTTGTCATTTCTGATCACAGACTGCACTGTTCACTATTGTACTTATATCTGTACTTATTTTGAAATTTTCCCTAAAAATGATGAATGGTTTGTCCAGATTGAAAGATGGACTAGTCCATTTAAGATATTTAATGTGGTTAGCTTAAATCTCATATATATATTCTTTATTTGAGTCTCATCCATACATAATATAAAACAATTCAATGACATAATTTTACAAAGTAAAAGTTATTTATGTACGGCCATTCTTATCAGAATTACAAGAGACTATAAAAATTTTTAATCTAATGGAAGGGAGGCAACTCTTGCAAGAATGTCCAATGTTACTTACAGAGTTACCTCTCTTCTCATTCCATATTCATATGCATGTTACAATTTAAAATTGCTAAAATAAGAAACTATTGCTAATCTTGTTCTAAAATACTTAAAATGTTTTCTGGTAATTTTTTGCTTTACAGTAAAAATCCTTAAAATGTTCTCTTCCTTAAACCCGTAAAATTACACTGAATAGCAATAGATTCTTAAACTATAAAATCATGTAAATAAAATTATTTCGCATCATTGGAAAGATAAAAACCTATACAAGTAAAATAAAACATTATTCACATTTAAGTGACTTTACATATAATGTATTTGCCTAAAAATAAAATAAAAACGATCAGTTTACTAATTATTAACTATGAGTATGTTTACCATTTCAAGAGACTCGAGAGTTTACAATTACCCTTGTCTAATGATTAAAAGTATTAAAATATTACATTAACCATAAAATCAGGCTTATAAATACCCTGATTAGTACAATTTCTCAAATAATATAATGTAAGACTCTCAGTTTGTTGGATAAAAAGTTTAGCAATTTACATTAACATTATAAGAGACAGTTTCTCATGAATATAACCAGTTAGTTCTACTTTTAAGAATATTGAAATAGGATTTTGCAGCACACTTTACAATTTCAGTATTGGAAAAAATGAACGACAATTTATTATCATCAGACAGCCTTAAAAATTGATCATTTACATTTTCTGCTTTGGCAAATAAATCTTTCCTAATATCCTCATACCTTGGACAATATAAAATAACATGTTTCTCATCTTCAATTCCAGTTTTACAGATTGGACAGATTCTTTGGTTCAAAGCTAACCTTTCATATCTCATACCAGAAACGTTTAATGTATAAAACACTTTTCTGGATTTGTTAACTTGTGTATGTACATATTTGTTAAATGAAATTCTTCAGTATATATAAAAGGGAATTTTTCTAGAAATCTGATTGAACCTAGGAAATGCAGACTTCAATGCATATGAGATATTACTTTTGAAATGTTCTTTTAATTACCTTATTGTTTCCTAATTGGTGTTTCCCAGGCAGAGTAAGTTTCTCTAAAGTGGGTTGCTGATTTTAACCACTAAAATATGATTGTCGTTCAAGGAAGCCATTTAAATTATCAAGATTACTGCCCATGGATATATCAAGTAACAGTCATTGTACTGTAAAACCCAAGATTAACTTGTAAATAAGTAATACAGTCAAGTTACTGCTTTGTTATATGGTAGAAAATAAGAGAAATCATTTTTTATAATAATTTTTGAGAGTTTTCTGGAGTTACAATGAGTCCAACCCCTTTATTTATGATGAGAAAATATTTATTGTAAATAACTGACATCATAGGCACAAACATGGTGGCACTCATTAGCTTTGTTAATGTTGAAACATTAAGTGGTTTGCATTTTTTCATATAACAGTAAATATTGGATATCCTTTCATGCTGAAATTTTGCATACCATATAAAAAATTCTGCATTGCATTCCTGTTTAATCCTTCAATTGCTGAATTTGTGTAGTGAATTTGCCCAGCTTGTATTTGGAGCAGCCCATTTAAAGTTTAATGGATTTTATATTTTAAAAATTTTAAATAAAGAAATTGAGGTACCAACAGTATAAAGCCTTTCAGTGGACATACAGGCTGGCCTGGCTCTATACTGGTGGCAATCACTTTTTGAAGTCAAGTGTTGTGGTGATATTTCCTTCAGTAAAAATACTGGGGGACCCTTTTTAGGATGGGAAATGCTAATTGGAAATAATACGGTAATCATTTTTAGGTTCCTTTTTATTTACAATGTTTATAAGTTGTTATTTTGTTATTTGTTTTAGATTTAAAGGGACTCCACTGAGGTTTTTGACATGATGCGACTGTAAATAATTTTTGGAGATTAATGTTCCAATTTATGATTTAGGTCTAAACCAAAAATTTGCGAGCATAATTTATTGTCATTGCTCACTTGGTTTTTCTTTTTTGTTTATTCTAAT